CAATTATCAATCGTAGCTGTCGCGAAATAATCCAGCACCAGACGGAATATTGGCAGTTGTGTTTGCCTATTTCATTCCCTTGTGTAGAGTGCGCGTTTAAAGAATCATCGTAAGTAATTCTAGATGATATTTGCCTTCGTAATATAACTTCGACGGGTTTAAACGTGTAGCTGTTAGCTGTTGTTCATATATTCTCATTTCCCGAGGCGCTATACGCGATATATATCTTTCAAACACAAGGCAACTGTTTGTGTCAGGTTAATACGACACTCGACAGTCGCATTTCAGGTATTATACAGAAGTATGTTTAGTGTGGATATGAAATGCTTTCTTTTCCAAATAGATCTCAATTCCTTGCAAAACTGCTTCGGCTCACCAAAGGACAATTGTCTATACAGATTTGTAAACATTAAAATATTATACGTCACTATATATATCACCTTTGAACACGCAGCATTATCATTGGCAAGAAAAACATCATCTATCATATGGAATATTGAACGAAGGAGGACAGTTTACGTTTATTGTTTTTAATATTTTTTAATCAGGATACTTTAGCTTAAGCGTAAGCGAGTTACTATGTCAATGGCGCGACTTTCGAGTCTTATAAAATTTTCTCCTGCATGTAACTATGCTTAACCACGACTTCGCTCGTTTGTGCGTGATTCGAGAAAAGCACATTAAGTTTACAAAGCGATGATGCAGTTGGCATCTTTCCTGAACGTGCAAATGTCTTTTTAATTAAAGCTTTTATGCAACAGAACTGGATTACATAACATATATACGCAATGGGAATATACTTGTATGACCGGAATCTATTTGCTAGCAGAATTAAGACGGGACATGAGAGAGCCTCTCTCTTGCAAAACAAATACACAAGTGAGACCCCATACGTGCATTTCCTATGTAGTATCTAGAAAATTTGTCATCATGCGAACGTCGTTGTTAGAATTCCCTCCAGCAATGAGCGAGCCATCGGCTCAAATTTCGTTGGGAATATCTCGCCTCTTCGGTCGCTATGGCTGCAATTCGCACGATTTATTAACGCATTTTTGGCCGATGACAAATAGATGAGGTGCTGGGCAAACAAACGTATATTTAATTAATGTATTAAATCATCTTAAAATACATTACATATTAGATTTTTCGAACAATCGAAACGGCTTTTCCTAAATTTCTGGAATCGCTTTCTTGTTGTTGTTTCTTCATCGCTTCCTATATATAAATTAGATATGTTCGCATAAGTCACTTTTGTATGGCCAAAGTGCGTAGTCCCAGATCTTGTTTAAACAGGTTAAACAAATTTATTTAGTTCTTCAAAATTGAATATCTAACTGTAATAAGTTGCCACTGATGCAACATACTTGATCTGGCCGACAACTCCGTGAAAGCCAATTCGTGTTGTAAGAATTTCAATTGATAAAAGAATGTAAAAAAGTTCGTTACGGATCTATATTTGATTTGATATTGGGACATGAAGTTACTTTATATTAATACATTCGTTACGAAGTTACGAAACTTAGAATTTCAACACACAATTCAAACGTAATCTGTTGCAACTAGTCGAGATGAAAACACAACCGTGACAGAGTTTTTATAATCGTCCGTTTAATATACAATATATAATTTAAGGTGAATTGTTTGTTTATAAGAGCGGATTTTTTCGTCGAGCTAAATGAAATATGCCAGTCGCATTGTCTTTTTTTAAGCAACAGGAATATTGACTCTTGTTTGAATAAAGTTTTATCATGACGCCGAACGATACGGTCGTAACTATAGTCATCATATCATGAAGAGGTTTGAGTTTTGACGTTTCCACATAAGGGGCTTCGTCTGGAAAATTGCTTTAAAGTACGAAGTATGATTTCCAGCAATCGTGACGAGCGCCGCGAGAGTTCGTCTTGCATAATATTCGGACAATTGAAGTGCATTTGTTGCAAAACCATGGTTGTCTTATTCCTGCATGTAATTGAAAAAGTGATAAGATATTTTACAGTTTTATCTCGTTGGATCCTGCCTTCTCATCATGCACAAATATAGATACACCCCGTTTTAACCCCTCCCCTATATAGAATGTCAAGAGTCCCGCTTTGGCGGAAAGGGAGAGAGAGGGGGGTTAAATCAATATATTAATTCAATTTTAATACGCGTTTGTGGGTTATGGATCAATGCGTGTGCTTTCAAGAACGGTACATGAACACCATATTGGGAAAAGCATAATTTATGTGTTTATATGGAATGCTCAAACATTCGGCTGCGGTCTATGCGCGGATTTGGTTAAAAAACACTCTCGGATATCTTTCTATTTAACAGACGACACTTTGAAAAGATTTTCAAAATATAAGGGGGGAAACCTTGCAAGAAAAACTAATGTGTAGCGATTCGCCATGATGAGAAAGATATTAGCAGTTGTTGAAGTTAAGAAAAAGTTATGCGCTTAGAAAATGAAGCTTATACGATTCCAGCTTTTACAAGCCACAAACGGGAATTTAAGTCCAAGTTAAACCGATGCAACCATGTTGGCACAGCACCAGGCGATGGAATGCATGAGCCGCTTACATTTTTAGAAGTTTTTTTAAATATCCACAGGATTTATCCAAGTTAGAGTCCTGGTTTTCAGATAGTTACGAATGAAACTCGCGCGACAAAACGTTATTTGCAAATTGTTTATTGTATCAACGATGTTTTGGGTCCGTTTAAACAAGGCTTTTTAAGCTCCGAGCTGTCAAATGCAATATCTTTTTGTTCGGAATGGCTCCACACGCGTGCCTATAAACAAGCCACTTCAGGTGATTGGCATATATCAGGTTCAAAATAATATACCGTAGTCTAGAAGCGATATTTTCCCATATAAGCTCAAAGTCCATTATAACGTCGTCACTATACACGGGCGCGTCTTTATATATAAATCTGTGTTGCAGCGCGCCTGCCCACTTCTAGTTTTCACTGTCGCGGTAATTTGACAAGCGCTGTTGGCTGTTGAAGACCATAGGTGGGATTTCAGGGGAGGAAATTTCATCGTTTGTCGAAGCTGTTAGACATTGTTCAGATTATCTTTTCAGTGGTAAGCTTCATTGTTGTTGCATGATTTTCAGTGTTTATTTTGAGCAGCATACCAGTCATTATTTTCCCTTCTGAAGGAGACTCTTCGCCGATCTCTCGCGTCGTTATAAAGCTTGCTTATTGTTTTGAAAAAATCTTGTCGCTCATGCCAGTAATATTTCGTCGAAAAATTGTTGTGTTCAATGTCGTTGTGAGCCTGTTTATATGTGATATTTGTCGTGTGTTTGTATGTAACGATGACAAGCTGAACCTAGTTTGAAGCTAAAAATTCCAAGCAAAGTTAATCATTTTAACCTAACGTTCACTTCATCTGCTAGAGTTAACGATTTGTCTTCATCTGCCTGATTTAACGATTTGACTGCCTCACAGGATGGAACTGAAATATACTAAGAGTGATAATAATAATAATAATCTGACCAATTTAATATAGCGCTTGGCATGCATGTAATAGCCGAAAAGTCTGCATGTTCACACGAGTCCGTTCGTTTGAAAATGATGTTTTTAAGTCAAAGTAGACCTGTAATGTATCTGAAGTAAGTCAATTTTAAACATGCAGTATATTGCTTTTATCGCTAAAAACACAATATTTTGTACGTCAGAAGTGAAGTGGAAGCGACAAAGAGTTGAAGCTACCCTTATACAACGGAAAAAAGTCGGTTGGGTTCACTATGATTCTACGAGTCACAATCGTATATAAAAACAAAACACCGCTTGTTTCAGATCAATCCGAATGTTTTGTTGCATAAGACTGGGAAACACCGTGTCAATATATTGAAAGCACTTTGTACTTTGCATTAATTGTACAAAGGTATGAAATCGTTCGGCGTATAGTTTATACATGATGAAAATGAAACCGTAATAATGCACAAAGTTAAAGATATACATGGTTTTGTAATATATATATATACTATTACGAATGCAAAGAGATGTTATGGATTCAAGTATACTTATTTGAATTATATATGGATTTCATTCAGACAAACCGACTCCTCAACCAACTGAAATATAATAAAAGGCTGGAACATCGACTTATAAAAGCTATAGACAGAGTCTGCCTCTAGAGAGTTTATATACCAATATAAACAATTCTTTCCAATTTTTATGAACTAGAATCGGAAAGTCAGACACATTCCTGACAGTAGGAAGGCCCGCTATAGGTCAAAATTAATGAACCGATTTGTTTATCCCCGCGAATATGAAAAATCGTAATAATGCATGAACTCTTCAGATGAAGCCATGCATCTGTTGTGATCCTATAATATGTATGCCTATAATAGCTCTGTTTTCTATATATGTAAAGTCTTATATATACACTCGCTAAATACATGATAATTATACTTCGTTGGATAGCATTTTCGTAACCTTTGCACAATAATTCAATGTTTATTCAGTCATTTTGTATCGTGCTGGTAGGGGATAGGAGTTGTCCAAACCTGTTCCTATTGTTTTGCCAATTACGATGTTGAAATGTGTTGAAATTTATCCATTCACGCCTTTTTTCTTCTACATAACCATAAAACAATGAGTATTAACTATTTCCATTCGACAAAGCTATCCTTGTGGTAATATTATTTCCACGTACGTTTAAATTTAGGTCGTTCCTACATGTTTATACCTGATTTGTATGAAGGCACTGGAAGGCACACACACACAATGGGCGCGGCTTCGCGACTCTAATTTTCGCACATTTGAAGAAGATATATATAGGCTATATATATATAAACGTTTACATGGTATTTTAGCATAAAGATATGCGGGCGATACATTATTAAAAATGTAATAGCGCTTCTGAATATTTGAAAAAATACCGCATACCCTATATCTGGTCGAAGTTGTTCACTGGTCGCGGTAGATAACAAAATCTGATCGCGTTGGAGAATACGAATGATGCTTAATTCCAACACGGGTATTTCAATATTTCTGATCTTTTTCCTCAGTTGCAAGTTGATGTTGGTGAAGACCCGGCTATCGTTGTAACGTATGGGCCATTGGCATTGCGGGAGTTCATTCATCCACGAGCCCAACAAGAGAAACTGAGCGTGCAAGATTTGCTTCATTCCTACGTCGACGTTGAATTGAATTTCAAGCGCAAATATCCTCAACAAGAAGGCGACGAGTTGAAAAATGTTCATCAAGTCGCGTCACGTATCCTTTAAAAGCAGTTTTAATCTGTAAAGCGGGTCTATTTTAGGTCTAATAAAAGGGAAAAGTAAAAGGGTAGGCGAACGTTAAGGAACTTCAAGCTTGCCAACTCTACAAAGCCTAAACGCCATTGCGTTTTTTTTGCCTCCATAAACTTATATAAATCGTATAACTGGTCTAATGCATCTGTTGTTATAGAGATGTGTTGTCCTAAAGATTGGACGGCAGAAAGCCTGTAGTGGCAGATATTTGAGGAAAAATATCTTGTAGTCGTTTTAGATTTCGTATAACCTAAAGTTCTATGTTATCTCAAACAAGACGTATTCTGTAATGTTATGGTTTCTTTTATATGCATGCCTTGCACTGTACAAGTGAAGAGTTTTTGATCTGACAACCTCATTAACCCTGTCTTGAATGTTGTTACTTAGTATAGAAGTTGAATGAACCCTCGAAATATTGTTGAACCTCATAAGCATCGCAAATACTATCGGTATTTTATCTGTGGAATTGATAAAGTTCATCAATGGCGACCATGCAATATAAGTTTTCAATAACTCACTTCAGGCCAATTCCAGTCGTATAGCGACAGCAGAGAGTGTAGAAATCATGCGCCAAACTGATTATTAATGCCATTTGCATTCGATTTCTTCGGCTGATGCATTCCCAATACTGTCAAAATACAGAAATACGAATGATATTTTAGAAATTTTATAGTGCTTTCAAATCATTCTTTCTTCACTAATTATACATGCATGGTTCTATATATAGATCCCATTTAATTAAATACTAAATAGCAGCAGTCAAAAGAATTGAAAATTAGATTTAGTTGGCCAGGGGATAAATAGTAGCTAATTCATCATTTTTAGTAAATATCTCCAACGATAACAATAATTGTTGCTAATGTAACGCGCGTCAAGGTGATATATAAAGCTTTTTGACTAATATAACCCGCCGACAATTTCAAAAATATAGTATTAAAAAACATAATCTGAAGATTAGCATCTTGAAACTCAAAATTTGGATTAAACTGTTGAGGCGGAAATGAGTTATGTGATATTTTGATTTTACTTCAAAATTATCATCAAATGAACTCAAATAAAATGAAAGAATCCCAAAATCATTCGCGTTTTCTTTTAGTTTATATTTTGGATTTAGACTCAAAGTTTCGAATTTTGTTTTATATTATACGTTTCTTAAAATGAACTTTGTCGAAACACGTTCACGTTGAGAAATCTTGCCCTTGATTGGTAGCTAAGTTGAAGGTTATAAAGTATAGATATGATTAATACCTATTTTTAACTGTCCAATGACATAGTATATGCTTGTATGTATGAACAAAGTATGAACAAAGAGCTTCGATGATTCGATGTGGCATATATAGGTCATAATAGCTACTTCATTTTTTATTCGTCGTCCATAGCAAAAAATGTATAAGCAATTTGTCCAAGGTAAACGAAATGAAGGAAATATTATATCATTTTAAGTATTTAATTATCGTTTGACGGTCACGAATGCATTGATCGTGTATGCGAGCACGCGAGACCCTGACTCGATTTAATAATGCGTAGTTTTATATTTGTTCTGGACGTGTGTCGTGGAACGAGTCTCGAGGTGCTAGTCTCGAGGACATTATTTTAAAATATCCTCGGAGTCGAGGATAGTTTAAAGTAATGTACGGAAGTAACAATTGAATGATTTTCGGCAGTTTCGAATCCGTGCGATCGAAAGCGAAAGTGCTTAGTTTCACTTTTAAATTTAACAATAATTTTCCTGGTAATACCTAAAGAAAAAATAAATATATGTATACTGTATTCATAAATTTCCTTCCTGACAATTCGTTGTGAAGTTAAAAATGGGGGTTATTCGCATTCGTATATCGCAAACGAACTTAATCCACTCGCTCGCTGTTGTTGTATGAAAGTTTTTTATGAAACCTTAACGATTTCCATAGATTTAGGTGTCGAAAACACGTCAGAAAATCCGCAGGGGCTTGAATTTTGCCGTGTTCTGTTGGGCGTCATGCAGCAAATGCCACCGGATGGTAGGTTGGAGGCATATAGCCAGCATTGTTTCTTTCATTCGCTTTAAACATTGTGCTTTACAAAACACCGAATATATATCTACACATTTATCAAAATATTGTGAATATCAGTGTAAGCTCTATCTGGAAATCGCGTCTGTTTATATAAATTTTCACACCTGATAAATATATTCTTATGGATAATCTGGAAGCGCGACTCTTCGTGGTAAAATTTTATGTGTTTTTTTTCATACAGGAACAATTCAGATGATTCAAACGCAGTATTCTCATCTTCCAAGGTAAATTGAATTCGCCTGGATAGCCAGGCCTCGCGAAACATTTATCACAATCTATTTTAGGTCAAAAGTATATTGTAATTAGAAATGCTATTCGCGCTATTTTTCGATAGGAATGTTCCAAAGAATGCTTCTTATGTAAGAGATAAAACAAAAAACGCGGAAAACAATTTGCTGCGGAAGACTATTCAGTTATCTCTCTAACACACGGCTATTTAGAAACGCATCAGCTTATTGCATGGCAAGTCATGACCACCCGAATAATAGATACAGACTGGCGCTGGAAGTTCTTCGGCACTGAAAATATACATGTAGCACGAAATTTTAAATGTATTTAAAGCTACTACGTTATTGGCTTGTATATATATTCCTAAATTTGAGACAGTTCTTCAGTTTCCAAGGAAGTTAAAATAGCAATTAAGCTATAAACATTTAAATGCTTATTCAGTACAAATTTGCTTACTCAGTATAAAGGTTTGCTTATTCAGTGAATATATACACTTGCTTGCTTTTAGTACGAACTCGTTGCAAGAAGACACGATAGCACACGTTCAAGGTTTCTCTCCAAATACCACCGAGTTTAAATTGGCGCGGTTTTTTGCAGGTCTCAACATTGAAAGGTCAGTAATATCCATGTATGACAAGACTAATATAATAATAACATATTTCTACATTCTCAAAGGAAAGCAGAATGCAAATTTGCAATTCCTGCTGGAATTCAAATTTCATCTACAATTTTGGTTAAAGACTTTTAGTTGTTTTTTTTTATCTGAAATAGATCAAAATATAGTGCTGAATCTAGAAAGATCGTTTAGTATAATAATTATATAAAATTTGTATAATTGCACCAGTTTCAATTGCCGAACTTAATACAAAAACGAACTTTAGGCTGCCGATTTCCTTGATTTCACGACTTTCCCAAGTCATTTTTTTACTAACTTTCTAGTATTCATTTTTCTTGGGTGAAAATATCTGTGGCTAATGCATTTTATCCTACCCGTGCGTGTTGTTTGCGTAAATATTTTCCCCAAACGTCTTTGTACTTTACCAAAACAGCTGAGCTTCCTCTGAGGCGAGCCAATATCATATCATTACATTTGTCAGCGAATCAAGTGATCACAGAATACGCCAAAAGCGAAATTCGAACAACAACAAATCGCATCCCATGATACATGCATATAGGAGGCTTGTCGTCTTCGATTTTTCACACGGAAACTATATAAAACAACACCGCGTTTCGCATGCAGCCAAAATAGGTTTAAAAAACAACATCTGAGTAATTTAGTGCGCCAAGATAGCAGATAGTTTGATTTGTCTTAAGAAGTTTTATTGTATAATGAAATATACAAATTCTGTAGATCACTATAGCAATCTATGTAGCATTAAATACTAGTTTATAGAATCTTTGACAGGGTTTCCAAAGTGGTAAAGTAAACCGTCTGTTAGTATGGTCGTTATAAGGAGAGAACGAAAGACCCTGGGTACGAGGCAGCTCAGTGGTTAGGAGCGACTTCAGCAAAATGCATGGAGAATATGAACTATAGTGTTTTAATGCCGCATAGAATCATAGATTGCTAGTGATCTGCTGAATTTTGAATATTCATTATACAATAACACCTGGCTAAATTTAGTACGCCAAGAATGCAGATAGTAAAGAGGTCAGGGAGCATACAGCTGCAGAGCCGCTGGTGCAAGACAGCTTTTGTTTTGTGTCCGGCATTTATCTGTAAGCGATAATTTAATTAGTATAAAAAATTCAAAACATAGATATTCAGCGCGATACTGGGCTAGTCGATAAATTGAGCGTATATGCATCGATGTATCAATCTATTTTGTGTTATTCTGTGCTTCAATTGATTCAAAAAGAAAACAAAGTCGTATATCATTGCAGTCTTATGCCATAATAGTGAATGTCAACGAACGTAAATTCGTAGATGTAAAGATATTGTAGTTATTTACGCCTTTAATTTTACAAGATATGGGTTTGAATGGAAAACTATATTTTATATCATCCATCATCATACGCGGCGCTATTTTAACATGATATTCGCAATATAGTTACATTTTCCAGATTAAATTATAGTTTTTTCTACATATTTAACACTGAGTTGAATGAAGCAATATCGTCTAGAGGTCTCCGATCTATTCTTTAATATGTGTCGAGAAATACTGTGTATAAACCTCAGTTAAAACGATCGAATTTGCGATACCCAAGTCAAATATAAACATGCATCTCCGCGCAGCGATAAACCTAGTCTGCTATGGATTTCATGCAGTGAATTAAAGGGCAGTCCTCACTAAAATTTCCTGTATAGCTTTCCGGACATGCATATGCCATCATGTTGGCACGTATACTGTCGTCGGTATCATAAATTAATAGTATGTGTGTGTGTGTGTATATATTACAAAACGTGTTTACATCTGAGTACTAAGGCATTATATTACGGCGATGCAAATCAAGATCTACAGCTGTTTAACATTGTGCACTTGGCCATCTGAGTTTGACCTTTATCCATTTTTACACAATACCAGTGGTAAACAGCACAAGCCTTGCCAAATTCATCTCAACTCTAAAATAGACAAAACATTTTTAGGTTATACGCTGACAACATTAAACAATCACTCCCGATGTGAAAGATCTGATTTTTGTTACAGTTCACGGTGAATTCAATTAATAGAATCGTAATATGATATCTTTGTGATGCATGCATCTTGCATTCGGAACTATTTTTGTTCTCAAATAGACATGCCAAAAATAGGCCTTCTGGCGAATTTCATTGGCAAAGCCAAAGGTCATAGCCAATATTCCTACAGAGCCCATCGGTTTTCGCCCTCGTCAAAGGCAATATAAGTTTAAAGAACAAACAAGTCGTTCGCGGTGATTGAGACTGACGTAAACAAGATACTAACCAGACGAAAACATTTAGCATGCATGTTGTACTGCAAGTCTGCAACTATAGTAGAACGTTGAAACTTGAAAGTGCTTTGTTTTCCTCGTCCAAATGGACAATCACGTGTGCGATTGTCGTTCATAAGAATAGAATTCGCTACAGGTATGCTAATTGACCACATAGCACAAAACTGACCTGTGCATCATGCCACTCTCGGGTCTATATTGTTCCTGCATACATAGGGCGTCTGATGTTTTGACATAACCAAGAACCAGTTATTTCGGGTCGCATCCTTTCATCGGCAGTGGCAAATTTCAGAAGGGGAACCTATTAGAATTCACATCCAAATTTTATCATCGAAATTTGTAAGTAACCTTTGTGCTTTCTACGTTTCGATACAAACGTTTGTCTTCGCATAAGTTGTGTGAACTCTGAATCCACTTGCCTATAGGCGGACAGGTTGATCTCATATGTGTTTATAGGTCTTGTGTCTTATTTGCATTCATCGCCTTGCATATAAAGATTGCATGAAAACAAGGGCAAGTGTTTTCAGTGCAGCTAATGTAAAATGTAGTTAGTATGTTCTCTTGCCCCTGTGCTATCTACAACGTTTGTTTGGGTTTGGGTGTCATTGGGAACAGGGAGCATAGTTAACTGGGAAAAGAAAGGTCCAATATATAATGTTTACGAACGTAGGATAGAGTTTGTAACTTGTCTTTTATATCATCAGTATAACGATTCGGATTGTGATCATGTATAACTTGTCTTTATTCGATTCAATTCCTAGATTTCCAATGGCCCAATTTTCGTTGTCCATCTTTCAACTGCATTTTTAATTTACCGATTAGGTCAAACACGTTGTAATGGTTTTGCTGAAAATACTGAGGGAACTAAAACAGCATTCACACTAAACTATACATCAGCCTGATATTTGTTACAAGTTCTTTCAAACTATAATTTTACCTATAAAGGATTTTCTTTGCCTACAGGAACTTGCTAGTATAAACAGGAATATGTGATTGTATTTGTATAATTTCCTTATGTTTGTTGTCGCATGCGAGAATGTGGCTTCCAGTTTCATTTTCGCATTTGCACGTCAGATCACCATTCTTCCATGGGGGTACGCTAACTTCCATTTCTGAACCCCGTGAAGATGGAACAATCGAGAAGTGGGCGACTGTAAATAACAAATTGAGTTGCAGCTGAAGGTTTTAAGGGGCTGCCTACGTACATCCTGATTGGCTCTTATAATAAGGATGGAAACTAATGAAGTCAATCTGTGTTTAAATACAGCTTGACTCATCAAAGATTTAGGTGTATTTTTGCATGAGGGAATCGTTCGAATCGTCATAAGATCGCATATCGTATCAGTTTCTTACCACTTCTTCCCGCGCTAATGCACCTCAAGGGTGTGAAACTGATGATCTTGCAAAAGGTGATTTTAAAAAAATAAGTTCCTTCTCAGGCGTTTTCTGATGTCAACAGCCCTTGAGTATTCGGCCTCGCAGAAATGTACACGGGAGAGGCTCAGATGAATGAAACGGGTGACCTTGAAACAAATATTTGTTCAAACGAAAACGCGTTAATGTGGACATGTCGTAATGTTGTAGGAACGAAAAGCCGGTTAGAACAGCTTGTGAAAGACTTGACTTTTCCATTTACGATTGAACGGGTGGTTGATTAAAATGTCTTGCAACTGGTTAGTTCGTTGTTTAATGATATAGGCATACTTTTGCATACAAAAGATATTGATATGATTCTATTGTTGTATCGTGCCTGATTTTCAACTAATGAGTGTTGTGCCGGTCCTAAAAATTGTGTGGTTGAGCACAATTAGCTTTGCAGAACTGTAGCGGAAAAACGTGGCAGTCACGTCTTCGATATATTGCAATATTAACATCTCAAGCATCGTGCATTTAATTATTATGCAATCAACAAATCTGTCGAAGTGCTAAGAGCTAGAGGGTAGCTTGCAAAATATAATTCTTATCATTTCATGTTTCCTCCAAGGTAATGGCAGTGCACGAGGGAGTCGAATGTGAACCTTGCTCATTTAAACCTTTCATAAAACGTTTGACCGTTTGTAACTGGCTTAAACGTTTGCCGAATATGACACAATAATCGCGCCCTTTTTTCTTCTGATCAGTCGCGAGGCCTTAGATTGCTTGGAAGGATATTTGGTAAAATGCCAGCTCAAGACAGTTTGGAGATGCTATCCTGAATAAGCCGTTGATTACGGCCGGAACCACGAAGTATAAACATGCACGCTCACTGTGAGAGAAAAACGGTTACTATTAATCTGCCTCATGCACAGATCAAAATATTAAAATCAGAAAATGGTCCTCGTTAAGTGCAAATAGACTATTCTTTGACTGTTTCATGCAACATCTTCCAAATTTTCCTACTTTCGATTTTACATGGCTATAGGAATTTTTCTTGCGTTTTCTGTCAGTTTTTCAATTACTCTCAATGACCGCTCCTAATGATCGACATTAAACTAAATCCTTTTGTGGCATCGCATGCAAATGAGGCGTTATTATAGCATTTTAGTACCTTGATTAATCGCGTTTTTGTGTACACCCTCCCATTGAATGGTTTTGATCCAAACTAGCTTTGTTACAAAGTGAAACATCTCTCACACGAAAGATGGTTTATTAAACTCGTCTCGTTCTGTCGAATTTGTATAGTGGTGGTATTGTGTTGTGTCCGACTGTGAGCCATCGGCAGTTTGGCGAAGCAATGGTGCGATTTACGAACAAAGAACAGAGAGATTTGGCTCTAAATCGAAGCGGTATGAAATTTGGTTCCAGAATCATCGAGGTTTGTACTTGTTATGTGTACAGTTAAATTCAATACAGTTTGCCAGTTGTAAACATTCAACTCAAAACCTTCAATCGTTTAGACTATAAACGCGTTAGGCATATTGGCTGGGCGAAAATGTATAAAAAAAATTATATCCTGCCAACTCTTCGTGACATGATAACATCTCAAAATCAAAACGTTTCACGATATAATAGCGTCAGTATATTCAACTGTTCTGCCTGACACTTGTGCTACCATAATACTTTCAACTCTATAGTTCACAGTTTAAGGTTTAACGCGTTTAAGATTTGTGGCTCTATTTTAAACACAATTGTCTCGAAGCTGTTTAGTTTTAAAGGGTGGCATTCATTGCATGTTTCGAAGGGCAACGGCTAGATTGTGGTTAATTTAAAAACAATTACATCTATATTGGAACAAGAATTGTAAACCTCGCTTTTGATAAGTAAAGTTGTGACTTGCGTTCAGGCATTTTAGCTATAGGGTTGTCGGTGACAATTTAGTCAAGATAAGACTAACGATAGTCTTAGGTGAATTTAGCATATCAACGACCTCGTGGAAATACCTTTGTCATACTTTTGAAGACAGCTCGCAAAGCAACTCATTTGCATTGCGAGTTTTTCCCACAACGGTACTCATGCATATGGCGAATTTATTTAGAACTATAGTATTGTTCATCATTCGTTATTATATTATAGTATATTCGACTATTGTAAACAGCTCTATCATTCGCTTCGTGATTGCTGAAACACACCTGTATATAGCTATCACACATTTGTTTTACCAATAAGAAAAGATTGCATTCACAATTAAAAGTGTCAACAGTGAAACTACACCAAGCATAGATGAATGACGTCTTCGGTTTGCAATGTTGGCCTCGCTCTCAATCTCTCATTCACCTGTTTTAATTTCCTAAAATTTCCTGATATATTATCTTCGTTCACGAGAACCGACACGGCAATGTAGAATCTAATGTAGTACTTGCATGCTGACCACAGAGATAATGTTAATATGATTGGGACCCTAACAAAAATCCACAATGGTTTTAAGTACGTGAATGAAGTCTTTCATTTACATAACCGTTTACTGTGATGCTATCGAAGGAGAAAAAAGCACTTCACCCCCGTTCCTTTCTCTTCTTTGATTCAAATTATCTGCCGATTCTTGCTAATTGAAATTTACACACAATATATTATTCATACATTCATAGACGCAACTCTGTAACCATTCCAATGAAATCTCTTTTACTTTTGTTTTAGGTATCAAAGGCATCAATACAAGATTACACAAGAGTTATGAACCAAGGTAAATCTTTCCTATCAATTAGAATAGTGCTACAATGCCAAACATTTCACGAAATATTTCACTACTTTGCAACTCTGTAAACCGAAGGATCTTCAAAATCTCTTTACGAAGCTTAAGTCAAAAATTGAATACAAACACGAGACTTGAAGTTCATTTATCATGCTCTTTCAACCTTTGTTCCGAGGAATAAGATGCTGTGTATTGATTAAGATCTTTGGTATGGCCAAGAATTTCGTCTCGTTTCTTGGCTATGTAATGCTACTATGTTTAGTCTAACTACTGTCAATGTTATTTCAGATTATGCAAACGGTTCACCGCAAGGCCTGAATAAATTTCTGCATCTTGCTGTGAATGACTCTGTGATTGTGAGAATGCGTGGATTGCCATATAATACGAAAGCTTCGGAAATTGTAAGTATACCCCCTGCTAAAGGGTATTTTTGTTAGATAAGCGCTTATGAACTCAAGCTGACGCCCTAACTTGTGAGTTATGATGGCGTTTCATGCAGAGGTGTTAAAACTAATGATGCAAAATTTTCGAGAAAATTGTTTTCGACATGCAAGTGCAATTTCTGTTGACCTAAATATGCCCATTTAACGATTATGGCGGCTTTCCATGCAGAAAGCTAGAGATTTTACCCACGTATACAATCTTGCACAATTTGCATGGCGAAAAATTTAGTAAAGGGTGCTCCAATTACAATTGGGGCATTGCATTGGAACAATCTTCCCAAGAGTCAAAAAATCTGTAATTCGTTTTGAATCGGTCGAGATGAAACTTGTTCGTTTATGTCTTACATCTTGAAAATCCTCACGAATAAATCGTACTCCGATTTCCTTAGGTAACGTTTTTTGGTGAAGAATCACCTGTGTTTCACGAGCAACAAGGAGTTTTGTTCGTTTATCACCCCGACGGAAGACCAACGGGAGACGCCTTTGTCCTATTTGCAAACGCCGAACATGGCAAACTCGCTTTATCAAAACATCGACAGACAATCGGAAAGCGATACGTTGAACTTTTTCAAATGAGTAAACAAGAAGTAATACAAGTGTTCACGAGGCATACGATACCAAATAATGGTTTTTCGTTCTCTGCCATCCGAGGCATACGACCAGCAGGGGTCGAGCCATTGAACTCGGTACAAAACAATGCATATTTATCAAACGTCAGGAATATTGTTCGATTACGAGGATTGCCGTACTCAGCTTCGGTGCAAGACATTCTTGATTTCTTGGACGAGTTTGCGAAGTATGTCTCGCCAGCTGGTGTCCACATGGTTTACAATTATCAGGTAAGCAAATATTTATTTCTTTTGGAGTGGTGGATTTGGGATACTTTAAAACCGTTGTACATAGGATTGACTGATGTCAGATAACGAAGATAGGTTCAACCGATTTTTAAATTACTTTTAATAATAAAGCAGTTGTCAGCTATTGCTAATCAGGGTTTCTCGAAGTCCCTTTTTCTCATGTAACTTACAGTTGTCTGATCTTAGAGCTAGTCTGTTACCATGGGCTGGGAGGGGGAAGGGGGTGAGATTGTGGTAAATATGTAACTTAATGAACTTTACGTTTAAGAATTATCAAATAAGCTCGTAGATCCATAAGCTCGTAAGCTCGCTTTGAAATCCAAAGAGATTTTAGAAAGAAATAGAGTCAATTTCCCGATGGGTTCTTTAAAGTAGATGGTTGAAAAGCCAGTTCAGATGTATGAATGAAATTTCAATTTCTTTCTTCCAATTGCCTTAGTCGAGGCCAACGGGAGATGCCTTTATCGAGTTGAAGTCAGCTGAGCACGCCCAAAAAGCTTCGGAATCCCTTCACAAGAAACACATCGGAGAACGCTACATTGAGGTATTCCAATGCTCCTCATCCGACATGAGACTTATGTTGATGAGTGGAATCACTAGTAATAATAGACATCCCAATGCATGGCTAAGTGCCTCATATTCACCACGAACACCCCCACATGTACCCACCGCATTCACGTACCCTCCGGCGCCGTCGAGCCCATATCCAGCCGTATCCTCACCACAAAACGTCCGCCATTCCTCGAATTCGCCTCTAGCGATCATCAGTGTTCCTTCATCGCCCACGGTATCCCCAAGGGTATATATGACGTCACCGGGATACATGACCTATCCGTCACAGTCGTACAACGTGTTTAATTTTTCATACCCCCCATCCAATGTTCCCGTTGATGGCAACAGCGTGCCGCATACGCCACCAGTCATGTCGCCCACGGCTTACGATAGTTCAGCGGTTTTCTTTACGAACCCAAGTTATCAGGTATGTGCAAGAAATACTAATGTCAGTGGCGTAGCCAGCTTGACGATTTAGTCATGCTATGCAAATTTTATGTTATTATTATTATTCATTTCTTTAGAAATTCATTGTTTTCACAGTCAACGAACACCAAAATATCAGCATAGCATGACTAAATTTTCGGGCTGGCTACGCCACTGACTAATGTGATGTCGCCATGCAAACTTACAAGAATATTGTTTCACAACCAGCTTAAGCCACTCCCAAACATTTAATTTTTAAGCAAATTTGGTTTGACAATCTATGCTTGGCCACTGGATTTTATTTCAAATAGACCACATTTTCACCTTACGTTAACCACATTTTCACCTTACAGCAGGTACCTAACGATTACGCAATGACGCAAATGGAACCCGTGTACGGCGTCCCTATCAGTCCCTACATGCCACCATCTAATGGTTATTACCCCTCGGGATCAGACACCCTACCTGACACAGTTCACGTTCCTGCGTATGTTGAAACGTATTCGGGATGAAAGGATATCATCATTCCCCTCGTGATGCAACCGAAAACAAAACAGAGTATTCTTATAAAAAAAAAGTAAATTTATTATTATATTTAAATTATACAGAAAAAATAATTTACATTGCATGTGACGAACTTTAAAATATTGATATTAACAGACTTTTTACACAAGAACTTTTCAAGGGGTTCCTTTGTACCTCGAAAGATGCGCTACAGGAGATATAAAACGACAATATTTTTACTCTTTCTTGCGCGTCAGGTTTTTGAATCATTAAATAACTTTTTCATCGAATACGCCACTGTCGTAGATCGCAAAGCATTGTGGTCTAGTAACAAGTAGCTACCTAGAGTTTAACAAGCATGCTGTAAACTTGTGAAAAACTGTTGATAACTTCGAAGCAATCTCGTACAATTTGCCTGCGGTTGGAATTTAAAGTGGGTTTTTTTCCTGTGTAGCCCGCAGAAACTATATTTTAAGATAACCTTAACCTAGAAATGTTCAAACGCATTTGTATTTCAAAGCGATTTATTTTCATCAGTATAGATTTGGATTGTTTTTACACATGCACCATATAACCGAGGGATTTTCGATCGAGTTTATTGTCAGAGTTCGGTCCATTTTATTGCTTTTAAACGCCGCAAAATAGCCAGTGCACATTTCAGCCGGTGTTTGACATTCGCAGATTTCTACGGTCGATCAATGTCTAACTAGCTTCATACGTTTCCACTGACTTTTAAGACCAATGAGATTCTTTCCGTGGCTAATACCACAATGCAACGCGATTCAAAAACAACGGCGCTGTCGACGAAAAGGTGGTTTACCGTAAAAATACTTTAATAAATTCTTTCTGATACCAAATGATCAGCATGCTCTTGCAGTGGGGAGATATTATTGGCAAAACGTGCGAGGTTCAGTGGGGGTGGTGTTTGCCAACTTTATCTCTTCATGCATGTAACTTGTTTATTCTCGTTACATTTTGCATGCTCTCAGAGATTTGGTGAGATTTGAGCGTGAATAAAGAAGCAACAGTTGTCAGTTATCTGCAATCGTTGATGGAGACTGGATATATTGCATCTTTTCTGCGCACTACTTTACTAAGTCAGGCTTTTGTAAGCCGCCTTTACACAACACTTAATTTAATGGCACTACGGACCTAAAATTATAAACGCAATTAATTCTTGTTCAGACTATCGGTACCAATCAATCGTGGAAAAAATTTACAGGGGGGGCAATTTTAGCGCGCCGTTCCAATAAATTGAGTGAAGTGTAAACGATGATTAAAATAAGTCGCGACTTGTTATCTGAAGTTTGACTATGGGTCAAATTCAAAACACAGATTCCAACCGTTTTTAACTATCGATAGGAAAGATTATTCACCAAATATACTCGACCTACTTTAGAAACCGATTTCACGAAAAATATTCTGCTCCAAATTTGTCCGATTGAGCTCAATGGATTGCTCCATCCAGTCCTTTCTTTGCAGATCTGTGCCGGCGGTGGTCGGTTACCGACGTCAGACTGTCGACGAAAGTCGAGAGAATTTAGCTAGACTATCAACCTCTATTTATTTTCTCAAAAATGTAAATGCAAGTTGACAACTTTCTGATAATGTCGTGTACCACTCATTACGTCAGTCAGTAACACGTGTAGAATATATCTATAGTATAGAGAAATTTTAAACATACTTTTAAAAATAGTCAAATATATTTTGTAATGTTTCACTCTCCTGGTTTATGTTAGGGAGTAGCGCTATCTATAGGGAAGGAGTGGGGGTTATAGGTGTACGCACAATAGCGCGCTTTTCTAGTTCGCTAATTTTACTGTAAATCTCCGAGCTATTTTGTCAGTAGCCTGAACACAGATCTGCTACTTTGTCAACCTTTCCGTATCGGTTGCTACAGCAATATTTGAGCGCTAATGTGTGTGATCTCCTTATTGGACTTATCCAGTTATCCATTAGTTGTCGATCACAACTAAATCCAGTGTCTGTAGGGGACCATCGTCTTAGATTGATATACTGATAGATACTAAGACTGATAGATACTAAGACTGATAGGACAAGCAGGTCCTATAGGAATTTTTTATTTCATTAAGCAATACTTATGCCTAATGGCCGCAAACTCTAAAACTTTTAGGAACTTTGAAAATAAAATACAAATTTGTAAGTTATGTGCTGCAATCTCTGCCGTGCAAGAGAAAGTTGCAGGCATATTTCGTGCCCATATACAAACATTAAACAATATAACCATGCATGCTTTGGTTATGATGTCAAATATTTTGACATGGATAACCACGCCGTTTTAATGGTCAAATGCTTGTCCTATGTAAAGTTTCCAGCATGTTTGGCGCTCATATACAAACATTAAACAATATAACCATGCTTTGGTTATGATGTCAAATATTTTGACATGCATAACCACGCTGTTTTAATGCTCGAATGCTTGTCCAATTGTAAAGTTTCCAGCATGTTTGGCGCTCATATACAAACATTAAACAATATAACCATATGCTTTGGTTATGATGTCAAATATTTTGACATGGATAACTACGCTGTTTTAATGGTCAAATGCTTGTCCTAAGTAAAGTTTCCAGCATGTTTGGCGCTCATATACAAACATTAAACAATATAACCATGCTTTGGTTATGATGTCAAATATTTGACATGGATAACCACGCTGTCAGTTTAATGGTCAAATGCTTGTCCTATGTAAAGTTTCCAGCATGTTTGGCGCTCATATACAAACATTAAACAATATAACCATATGCTTTGGTTATGGTGATGTCAAATATTTTGACATGGATAACTACGCTGTTTTAATGGTCAAATGCTTGTCCTATGTAAAGTTTCCAGCATGTTTGGCGCTCATATACAAACATTAAACAATATAACCATGCTTTGGTTATGATGTCAAATATTTGACATGGATAACCACGCTGTCAGTTTAATGGTCAAATGCTTGTCCTATGTAAAGTTTCCAGCATGTTTGGCGCTTATATACAAACATTAAACAATATAACCATGCTTTGTTATGATGTCAAATATTTTGATATGGACAACCACGCTGTTTTAATGGTCAAATGCTTGTCCTATGTAAAGTTTCCAGCATGTTTGGCGCTCATATGCAAACATTAAACAATATAACCATGCTTTGGTTATGATGTCAAATATTTTGACATGGATAACCACGCCGTTTTAATAGTCAAATGCTTGTCCTATGTAAAGTTTCCAGCATGTTTCTTGCCCATATACAAACATTAAGGTACAAAATCCGATCATATCTTGTTCTCACAGGCAAAAATAGTCCACATAAAAATCGCCAGTCACCTTCCTCGCGTCAAAATATATGTTTTATTACCAAGTGTTTCTGTTTGGAAGCACTCTTTAGTTCTTGATAAGTTACTCTACAACTTCTAGCAAAGAAAATCTCAAGAATTTTGAAAACCAGTGAATCACAATGCTGAAAACTTCAACATTCTTAAAAATTACAAGCAAAATATCGAAAAGCAAAATTTTCGCAAAAAATGCCGGGACTGGGAGCCTGCGATATTCTTATGCAGCGTCGACAAAGTCCTCTTTTTTTTGGTTGATTGGTTCTGTTAAGTGTTAACCCCGAAAAAAGTCAAAAAACCTTGGGGTTGTAAGTTTCTTTAATCTTTCCTCCTGCTTTTTAATCCTGTATAGTGTATTCAAACTGATCGAATGCAATTCCGCGTAAGATACAGCCATGATATCTTGTCAAATCGCTTGTGAAAAATTTATATTTAGAACAATTTTCAGCAAGTAAAATTCGTCACATATTTGTGCAGGTTTTTTTGGCGAATATCTCTCAAACATGCAATGGTTTGATTGGTTTTTTTTGCATAAATATTCCAGTATAAACTCTATGTTCTATATTTAATATGTACTACAAAACTATACTCTAGTGCAAAACTATATGCATCTAAAGATAGATAATAGTTTGTTATTCAGTTATTCTAGTCTTTGTTGCAATCCTCCAGCAGGATAGGAGGTAAGGTCTGGCCTGCTGCTCCATGAAAATGGAATCTGTAAAATAAAGGCGATAGTTTTACTGTAAACGTCATCGCTAAATTAAGGCTAGTTTCCACTCAGGAAAATTCTCCTTTGGATCGGACAGTACAGAAAAGTTTCCTTTGTATAAACGCCGCCTGAGAACTCACCGACAAAGAAAATTTTCCTGTTTCCACTAACATAAAACCTGGGTTGAATAATATACTTCTGCATGGCAATTCATTTGAGTTGATATATACATTAGCAAGTGGGACTAACAATAAACGAGAAAAGGTTTCCGAAAAATGGGAGTTTGCAGCCATCAAGAGAACGTAAAGCACTACCTGAATGCTCCTGTGGCGGGCGTTTCCTCAAGGTTGAACTCTGCAACTGGGACACCTCTGCTAGCAAGGCTTGGTGCAAAACTTGCTGCTGGGTAGACCACAGAAGATGTACCAACCTTGGAATATAAGGCAAGTAAACCAAGGCTCATCACAATAATTCAATTTGAAGAGGTAAGTTAAGAAAATGGAATACTAATCACTAAATATCCTAACAAAGTTCCCTAAATTGAATTGTTGACACACTTTCTTGTATATTTTAGGCAGTTTGTTCATCAGTATTCTACAGATGTAACTTGACAATGTTTAATGAAAAAAATGAAGTATTAATTGGCATATGCTTCTTCTTTTACCCCAGGAATATGTACAATAAGGTAATGCTTACAATAGATACAGTATCTCTTAGGTTTTATGAACTAACCAGTAAGCACATATCACAAGAATGTAATGCATCATTTGTCCGTTTTAGGACTTCATCTTCAAGCGATTCACCAAACCACACAACATGGGGACGAACTAGTGAGTCACACCCAGGTTGGGTACATCTGAAATCAAATCATTTGTAATCAGATAGACTCATAGTTTAATATTATTCTATTATCCTAAAGGATTGGGGTCTGATCTGATCATATTTCCTATCATGAAGTATGTGATATTTCACAACCTAATAGATTTGTTCCATATCCTGTGGTACCTTGACCAGTTTAGGATTTTGTTACATATTGTTTACCACCTTGGTAGTTCCTCTAATGGAATTTTAGCATCAACAGCATCAACGCGAGGCTCTCTGAACAAAAATGAAAAGTAATATGAACCTCAATTAATAATCATAAAAGTGAATCTTTGCCTCTGCAACTTGTTTCTGAATTTTACCAATAATCTGTATTTGCATTAATTTTTCTATTTCTTGGATGACAATGTGACATCAAGTGCAGACAGTTTATATAGGATAGGTATTGATTACCCTTTTCCTAACAATGATGGGACAATAGGACTTTGTCTGTTCTCCTCGATTTGGCCACAGCTCAGACAGCGCGTTTTGAATAAAGATCCTAAATGGATAGTTAGTTGCATTTAATACATTATAATTGTGCATTGGCATTCATTGGTAATGTGTAATTCATGTGTAATGAATTTGATTAATAAAATACCATGTAACTCAATAACATTTTTTGAACCAGCTGCCTGATGTAAACCATCAATGTTCTGTGTAATGACATGCACCATCCTTCCTTGGTTAACCAAATGCTTCTCAAACTTTGCTATAGCATGGTGTGCATCGTTAGGCTTCTTTGTTAAGACAAGTTCCCGTCTGTAGCTATAAAATTCCCATACTAATGATGGGTTAGCCCTGAATGATTCTGGTGTGGCAAGCTTGGTGGCATCGTATTTGCGCCATAACCCACCAGCACCTCGGAATGTCGGTACACCACTTTCGGCACTGCAACCTGCACCAGTTAGGAAGACCACATTCCTTGCTTTTGATAGCAGTGATTTGAAATCAGTCATGTCACCTTTACTGGTATGAAAACTCATTTTTAACAGGTTTTGAAAGGAATTCGACAACTTCCTTCCTCGAAAAATATGCAAAGTATGCATTAAATTTCATGCCAATGAATTTCAAATTCAGTTTCAATAGATAAATATAATTCCAATGTCTTTACTTTCAATTTGTTAGTAATTGTCACTGGTAATTGTAACAAGTTGACAACAAAGTGGAAGCTTCAGAATCGGTGAATTGATAACCGTATTTGAGGACGTTTTTACTTGGGAGGCTAAGAGAGAATGAAATATCTAACATTGAGATAAAAAGCGTTACAAGCGTTAAAAGAAGTAGAAATTCACTGTAATTACTGAACTATTTCCAAGAAGTATGTTGGGAAAATGAAAGTTTTGAAATTCGATACTGGAAACACTCAACGTTCAACCACAAGATACAAGATGGCAGGTCATTTTTCAGGTAAAATTTCGACAAATTGCTTAATTCCTGCACGTTTTTTGCTCTGTAAGTCTAAAGATCGTATCTGGAGTATAAAGTGATGTGTTGGGGATAACGTATAAACGGATGGAAGTATTCAAATGTTTTTCTTGCCGAGGAAATGCTGGTGTATTTGAACCGTGGAATGTCGTGCAACAGACAGACAAAGATTGCATTGTAATATTGTGTTCTTTAAACGTTGTGTTAATGTTGCATATGTATTGATCTTTATTATTATTGGCATAAGATGATACAAGAAACTTGATCTTTAATAATACAGTTTCTTCAATTAGTTGAAGTGTTTGTTCTACAGTGTACTTGCATGTTAATTTCGTTTGGTCTTTTCATCTCTTTATTATTAACCTAAAAAGCTTAGCATTAAATGTAGTCAGCAACTGCTTAAAATGCCCAAGAAAACTTCTGGATGTTTCAAACTATGGGCCCCCTAAGGTTGAGAAGTCTGAAAGTCTTCATATTTTAGGCACTTGCTGAACCCCATTTAATGACAAGTTATTCGGGTTTTGTATTTTCTTGTTGACCTGTGAGTCATGGATTGCATCTGTGGATCTTGTGAGTATATTCTGGGCCCTCCAGTTTTTCCCAAATGGATGCTGGAACAAGAGATTTTAATGAGCCTGAAAAAACCATTCCAAATATGTGCTGCCAGATAGAGTCCTTAATTTGTACTTTAGCTTTCTTCAGCTCTTATATTCTTGATATTCATGATAAGTGCGCTGATTTCATGATTCATCTCAGTGGAATATAAATGTTCTATGATGATTTTTGTTATCTCAACGTTTGGTAAAAGTCCTTGAATTTACCAAAACTTGGCCTGATTTTGTAAAGTTCTTGGTCGGTTACACTTTCAGGCCTGAACAAGACCTCATCTAATGTAGCTCGTATTCTCCCTAACCGGAGTGTCTTGCTCCGCTTCTCACAAGCAGCGAAAATTGGACTATGATCGAGTTCACTTATTTAAATTTTGTCATCTTTTGTCATCAGAAAGCTGGAAAGGTAAACGAACAGAAGTACGCAAATTATTAAATACCACGCAATACAGTATATGCCTTTTTATCTGTTCTAAAAGCTCGATGTATTATTTAGAATAAAAAATATAAAAAAATGCTACATAAGGATTCCAAAATGTAACGTTCTAATGTGTAACAAAGAAGTAGCAATAATAGGAACATATCAATTAGAACTATGCGCGCGTGCCAATTTCGTCCCTCGAGGGAAAAACTTCAATTAAAACGTATATATAGCGCGAGCAATGATGCTGTGAATTAGCAGAATGCCAGAATATGATTTTGGAAGCACTTAAGAAATACTGTAGCTGATCAAATTTAAGCTAGTCTTTTCCAGTTCCCCTTAGGAATATTGCGATATGAAAAAATACCGAAATCTGTTTGTTTAATCTGTCGGAACTGAAATGTTTACTTCTGCGATTAAAGAGTAGAAATTGAGTCAAATTATACGTTTTTCCTTGTTTATTTTGTAATACCTCAACATGTCCATCGTGATATTGACATATGAAAACATAGAATGTGTACATGTTTTGAAAAATGATAGGGCAATGGCAAACTACTAAAACTTTTCGCTGAATATTACCATATAATATTAATTTAATCGAGGACGTTCAAAAAATTCGTGTATGTAATATACGTGCATTATTGTAAACCTCGATTTAGCACTATGCTAGTTATCTTTAGAATACATTTTATTTTCATTTTAAATGGAATTAGGGAATTTAGGTTGTGTTTATACAACATCATATGACATTTGATAAACCGACATTGTTGGACGATATAAACTCACGAAAGTGTGCTTAGAGCTAACTAAAAATTTAAACTGATTGTTATAGTATATATAGTATTTTCATATAGCGAACATTTTTACTCGAAATCAAGACCCATTAACCTTTACAAATAATAGTATATCGAGTTGCTACAAGAATTTCGATTCTCCGTTTTGTACACAGAGAGCTAGATTGTATTCAGAGTGTGCATTGTGCACACGATCAGTTGAAGATCTCCAGTCATATTGTAGATACCGTAATACTCGCTTTGCATATGGTGGATGTATAGAGTATTAAACATTCTAGGATCTAACGAAATCAAAATATCATACATTAGTTGCCCTCAGGCTCAGAGAAACGCCATTATATTAAAAGTACACCGATTATCTTGAAAGTATACCGATTTACTGGGCTCCGCAGTTACCTTCCTCTCTGTAACTTCCGATAGCTTACAGTGGATCATGAGGCGAGTTATAACCATTAACCACGTGTTTGCTTTATTTTTAGAATTTGGAATATTACCCGAAATTCTTCAAGCAATTGAAGAAATGGGTTGGCAGTAAGTTATGAAATGTTTTAATGTGTTGAATGTGTTTGTATTGCGTTTGCCTAGGAGTTAAACATATTGTTTGTAAAGCAGTATTTTTATTTCTCGCGACAGTTTACCAACAGATGTGCAAGCTGAAGCTATACCCCTGATTCTTGGAGGAGGTGATGTTCTAATGGTATGGATTTTCCTTTTAAATGTTCCTGTGAAGAATAAATTCTTATTTTGTACGTTCTACTTTTCCGTGTATTAAATGCCGAGTATTTATATTTAATTTCAGGCGGCTGAAACTGGTAGTGGCAAAACTGGGGTATGTTTGAAAGCATTTGGAAATTTTAAGCTACAGTTACAAAAGGTTTTCGGCCCCTCTCTTGGAGTATCCTAAGTGATTTGAAGACTCCTCAAGGTTGCTACTTTTGAAGCTGCTTAAAATTTAGTAACGCATTGCGATGCACTCTTTTGATGTCCACGGCTTTCTCCCTGCTGTAGAAAAAACGAATGGCTACTTCCCCTCGCTTCAATTCCGACGTCTGTGTATTTGCTGATATATGCAACTTTTGAATTCAGGCTTTTTGTCTTCCCGTCATTCAAGTGGTGTATGAAACAATACAGGATGCACTGTCGGGCAAAAAATCTGGAAAGGTCTTAATTGAAGATAAAGGTATCTTGATTATGTTAACTTGTTTAATATAACAGTGTTTCTCTGGGGGAATCTAAAGTCCGCGTGTCTCGAAATTAGAAATTTTGAAAGTATGGGATATTGTTAGATCCTAGAATTTTCTGTTATAATAGAAAAAACGTGGAAGATGAATGTGTATGACAGAGACTCACTATTTGGTAAGTGTGGTACTTGTACCTCACTGTATTCAATGCGTAGTGTAGCTTGCATGGAAATGACAACAATTATCGCATCGCTTGTTTATATAAAGATGTATGAATAGGTTATTCCATGATATTTTAGTGCAATGTTTTAAAACGAACAACGGCGCAGAAGCTTATAAACTAAAGCAACGGATTGAAATATAACCCGAATGTTTTTTATTTGCATTGAGAAAATGCTGTCTTATGCTGTATTCTTCAACTCAAGCTTATTTGGACTTTTAAGCAACAGCTGACTTTGTATACGGCGATTTGAGGTCCCCATCGAATGAAGACAAGTTTAAAATTTATTGAATTATTTAGCGATAGATGAAGATGGTTTGCTCTGCCAGAGTCGAGACCAGTCCAAATGGCAAGGTGGCAGATCCGTCCTTGCTGTCAAAAAAGGTATTACCATATAACTACGTGCTGTTTATTCAGATTTATATGCATGTGCACTTGGTGCGTCTGGTTCAGATTTGACTCTCGCTACCGCTACCTTTGAGGAAGCATGAACCAATTACATGCATGCGAGAACTCTATCAGGGTAACCAATCACGAGTGCTTTGTGGAAACATGAACCAATCGAATGCGAGAACTCTATCAGGTTAACCAATCACGAGCGCATTAGATCAATCAACGATAGCGGTGAAATAGCGGTAGTCAAATCCTGAACTTCGCTATGGTGTTTGAGTTTGACGGTCGCTACAATTCGGCAATCTATATATATAATTGTGCTGTCTGCACATTTGATATAATGTTGCGTTTCCAATAATTTTTTGTCATTAAACTTTGCTTGTATTGTTATTTTTTTAAGGCAAATTTTACTACGAGGCAAAAGTAACAGATGAAGGGTTGTGTCGTGTTGGTTGGTCGACCAAAGATGCAACTTTTAACCTAGGTACTGACAATATCACTTACCTTGTTTTTTCAAGAGTTTCGACTCTAAAGTCACACTCTAAAGAAATTTACCATCCAACCTAGATCCTGACAAAACTTCACATTTCAGGGACTGATAGGTTTGGATTTGGTTTCGGTGGAACAGGAAAGAGTTCATTCAACAAGCAGTTCGATACTTATGGAGAGGTTTGCATGTTCTGTACATTCTGCTTACATTCTACTTACATGCTGTTTTGAACCGGCTGTAGTTTCCACGTTTACCTTACTCTTCAATGTTTTACTTCTATACGTTGTGAAAATTCTTGAAAAGTAGTGGGAATTTGAAGAGTATACAGTAGATACTCTTCAAATTTCTCTACTACTTTTCAACTCTCGTACTCGTAGTCGTAGTGACTGCTATAGCTCCATCATATTATCGCTAACACGTGCGAACAGTTCATGCAAGTTATGTATTCATTGATCTTATTGTTAGTCATTTGGCCTGAATGATGTCATCGGATGTTATATCAACCTTGAAGATGGAACTGTCAAGTGGAGCAAGAATGGTAAGAATGAAACATTTATACCCTCGTTAACGCTTGATTGGTAGAATTTCATCATAGAATATAACTACAACAAACTATTTGATTGGTTATAATAGATAGCCGTGCATGTAGGATGCCGAAAATCCGCACGAGAAATTTTAATGTATTCGCGCGCGATTTTGAAAAGGTTTAAACAATTGTTTCACTGTAGTTATTAATTTTATTAAAGAATTAATCATTTTTGCCGGGAAAAAGTGCGTGGGTCATAGAACATTGAAGAGTACATGTTCATGGGTGAGAATATATTGTTTTCATGTGAAAATTAAGATTGTTTTTATGTCTAAGGTACTGATTTTGGAGAAGCATATGAGATTCCTGACAAACTGCAAGGCGTTCCATTTCATGCTGCTGTTGTTTTAAAGGTGAGGTATGCGGATGATATTTTTTGATGGAATCCTGACACTATGACCAAAAGCAGTGTGAACTTTTGCTCCTGTTTTTATATAACGAATTTTTGGAACGAATTTTTTTTTATGTAATTGGAGGGATTATCCCTTTCATATTTTCCCGGCTTGATTATGTTTGTGAATATTGGAGTACATCTCCAGTAACACTCTTTATTACTGTCAATGTAATGTTGGGGAAAACTTGGGGATTCTAATGTGTATATGATAATATTCATTATTTCTAGAATGCCGAGTTAAAATTCAATTTTGGTGGAGAGCCGTTCAGATATCCGCCGAAGGTATGGGAGAAAGGTATACGAAAGTTTGTCGTTTCCACACGGTACCTTTACAATGTGTTTACTATTTTTATTTTCTAGGAAGGTTACATCGGCCTCAGTTCTGCTCGACCCGGATGCGTGACGTCATCAACGACAGGGACCGTATCCCGTTCGCCGGGAAAGTTCTCCAACGAATGCTCGCCCTCGGCGATCATTTTAGAGGTTTTTCACGACCTTTCATTAAACTAACTATATTTTTACGCTAATTTGTTGGTAGAACATACATACGAAAATTTTAACGTCCAAATAGATTACTGTTATGGCATTCAAGTTTTTTTTCTTTCAATAGCTCTGACAACCGTATTTTTCAATATTTTTATTTGTCTTATCGTTTAGCCCTCCAGAGAACTAGCTCAGCAGGTATAATTATTTCATGGATATTTTAACTAATCTTTAACATACTTTGTTGAAATGCAAATTAACTACTGCACAAACGATTCTGAATATTGTTTGTTGTATTCTATCACTTAATAATGGTCCTGCTTGCATAATTTTTATTTACGTAGCTATAGTAAGTAGTTCTGGTGCGTGAAAGATATGTACAGAAATAATTACAAAATCGTTTATACATTTCAGACGCACAGCAACATAACCTTGTTTAAGAAACACTTGCCATCTCCTAGCATCAAGTACGGTATCTTCCTTTTTAAATCGCCTGTAATTGGCTGTTACAGACCTTTTGATTGGCTGTTAAAGAGAAATCTGAGGAAAGGCAGCCAATCATAGTTTAAGATTTCAGCCCTATAGTTTCCGGCCAATATGTGCATGGTAATTCTTGCGAATTCATATTTTTGTGTTCATGCAACTGATTTGGTCGATATGATTGAAAATTATATCGCCAGTTTCGCGACCACCTTGGAAAGGCAAGATATTTATAAGAGACATTTTATTTTTTTACTCAGGGAAGTCGTTTTGATTGGCGGGGAAAAGGTTAAAGACCAAATAAGGCTGCTGCAAGAGGGGGTAGGTGTACTGTATATAGCTATACCTTTTCATTGTGGTTATAAATTCGGCTTAGTGAAGGTCGAATATACCGGAATAGGGTATACTCGAGCTTGGTAATAAAAAAGTAGTGAAGTTCGAATTTCCCGGTAGCTATATTGTATACTCGCCTGGGGAATAAAGAAATTCGTAATGGTCGACTATACCTCCATACTTCATTGGAGTAGTAACTAAATTACTCGTTATATGAAGCATTTTCTTCGTCAAATCCCGTTTTTGTAGGTCGATGTCATCACAGGAACCCCAGGAAAATTTGATGACTTCGTCTCGACAAAAAAGATTAGTTTGGACCAGGTACTATGAATGTCTTTTAATGTCTTCTTTGCATGGTCAGTCATGTTTTAAGCCTAGCGCGCTTTAGCATGTAATAAAATAGATCAATTCTTGGTATTTAGGTGCGTTTTTTCATCCTGGACGAGGCGGTAAGTGAACGGAACATTTTGATAATTCCATGCATCATCCGAAGTGAATTTTCGGTGATGATTTCATTGCGCGTCGAAAGATAATTCCCATTTAACATTCTTTATGTATTCCCTGATATCGTTTTGACAGGACGGCTTACTAAGCCAAGGTAATCATGATATTATTATGAGGATTTACAACAAAATACCGAAATTTTCATCAGATGGAAAGCGTTTACAGGTATATATTTGTAACGAGTAACTTAAGCCCCGTTTACACTACGCTCAATTTATTGGCACGTCACGGCTAAAATGGGTACTCGTACTCAATTTTATTAGTGCTCAGGCTACCAAACAAAGACCGGACACGGATAAAATGGGCACGGGTGCCGTGTCGTACCTGATAAATTGAGTGTGGTATAAACGGAGCTATGAACGTCTGTGTGCCAATGCTGAGGAGCAGATGTACCTCGTAATAATAGTAAACCAATTTTGAGAAATATTCTTTGTTGATCGCTATATTGAAAAAGCAGAGCGCTGTATGCCTGATACCTTTTTATCCTGCATAATCCAATTCACATCTGATGGATGTTTCATAGTCTGTTTACTTGCAATATATATGAGCAGCAAATCAACTAAAGCCAATTCAGTACTGCTTCACCAATAACAGATTACATTTCATACGTCAGATTCATTATTACATTTCCTTACCTAATTTAACGAGTACTCTAAGAACGAAACTGATAAGTCCTATTTGTTTCACATAGTTTCAAAGCAACGGTACGAAGGGATTAATAATAATTTCAATTCTTTACTCTATTTTCAGATGATTGTGTGTTCGGCGACTTTGCATTCCTTCGAAGTGAAGAAATTAGCGGTAAGTTGAAGCTGCCAGTAAAACTATTTTTATCTCCCAGAATAAAAACATCGCTACTCACAAGTTGTATATTTTATGAAGCCAGTTCGCTTCTTAAACTATAGGAAGAGGTTCTTCTAACCTTACCAATTGTATAATTCCTCCTTCTCAGGATAAAATCATGCATTTTCCAACTTGGGTTGATCTCAAAGGTCGCGATAGTGTACCTGAAACAGTCCATCACGTGGTAAGATATAAAATGCACGTGCTTCGTACTGTTTATATCACTCCGAGGTTTATATCACTCCGAGGCATAAAGACAAACATTGATAATTCACCTTCTTATTTGCATGCACATTCAGGTTGTTCACGTAGATCCGAGAAAAGATTACTCTTGGAAAAGTTTAAGACAAAAAGTAAAGGTAAGGGTGCATACTAATATTAACAGCTATAAATTCAACATTATATATCTGCATGTGAATATGTCATGAAGTTATTACGAAGTTGGTGTATTGCCTGGATGACTTGGATCTAAACTTCACTTGGAATTTTGTTAAACATTGAAAGTCATAAATAACGCTACCATGCCAGAATCTCGTTTCTTGCTATCAAATAGTCGTTTACAACAAATTGTTTTTTAATATCATATCAGAGACAACACCACAGTTCACATATGTACATAAATACACGAATATACATTCGTTCATAAGAAAAGTTTTGTCAAAATCAATATATACACCACCGCCTGAGCATATTATAGTACAGTACTTCCAATTATTGTGGTTTATTTTTCTAGACTGACGGTGTCCATAACAAAGATAAATTAAATCAATCTCATACTAGTCCAGGTATAGTGAAAAATACCTGCAACTTGCAGAATATCATAATTTATCTGTTTCGGCCAATTGACTTTGGTACGAAATAAATAAGAGAAATTAAAAAGAAATGAAGGATTTTTCTTTCCACTGTAGAGATGTTTTCGGAGGCTTCAAAAATGTTAAAAGCTGAATACCTGGTTAAGGCTATCAGACAGCATCGAATGGACCAAGCTATTGTATTCTGCCGAACTAAACTAGACTGCGATAATATTGAAAATTACTTGATAAACCTTGGAGGAGGTTCGTATCTCATTCTGTTAAACTATAACTGCATTGTGTATAGGACTAATACTGACCCTGTCTGTGTGATATCCTATCTGCAGGTTTCTCGGAATCGTTGAAGATTGATTTTTTTCTTTTCTAGGAAACAGAGCTATGGTAAACGAATACTCGTGTGTTTGTCTCCATAGTGACAGATCTGTACACGAACGACGTGAAAACCTAAGAATGTTCAAGGTTAGGACAACTTCTCGATAAACGCACTATGCGAATTGTGGTATACGATTCGTACCCTGGCGTATGTGAACGTATGAACACACGTACAAACGTGACACTTTAAATTCTAACCTGAGCAAAATTGAATGAAGATTGCGGCATAGGCACTCTTTAGCATTCGTCAGAATGATAATTGCGTACAAGTTATCGTGTAATCTAAATAGGCCTTAAAGGGTCCGATACACGCTACCCAGTTTCACATGTCAGATTTTTTTTGTTCCTTTCAGGAAGGTGAGGTGAGATTTTTGATATGTACTGATGTGGCTGCAAGGGGTATCGACGTACAAGGCATTCCTTTTGGTGAGTGGGCTCGTGATATCCTTAACGAATTCATCCTCGACCAGAAGCATGCGGGATAGGACAGCGACAACCTGACTAACATGTTTTTTTCTGCAGTTGTTAATGTGACATTTCCAGATGATAAACAAAACTACATCCATAGAATTGGACGAGTTGGACGAGCTGACAGGTGCGTTGCTTTTCTGGTGATCGTGTTTGTTCTATATTTTGCTTTCGTTTGAGTATATTTGCTTGCTGTTGTTGCTATGATTTTGTTCTGATGCTGCTTTTGTTGTTTTGTTTGATAGTCTAGTTGGATTTGGTGTTGTTTTAGTATTTGTTTGTTGTCGTTGTTTCTCTATGCTTTTTGCTGTTGTTTCATGTGTTTGTCTCAGTTTCTTCGCACTTTGTTCGTTTTGTTGAAAATATTCATCGCTTCTACGCCGGCCTTCTAATCTGACATTTATGAACTTTTATTGCGCTTATTTTTGTAGAATGGGCTTAGCAGTTTCATTAATTTCTGACGTTAAGGAAAAGGTATTGTGCATTCTTCTTTCAATTTTTTGGTTTCCCCCTGTTCTTCATATTTCCTAACATTTTCTCACTGAAAGGTGTGGTACCACAAATGTCCAAGTCGCGGTAAAAGCTGCAACAATACGAAGCTGGTTGAACACGGAGGATGCTCCATCTGGTATGACGAACTACAGGTAACCTTATTAATTTTTCTCGTTTAATAATAGCTTTTCTTCACAAGAAATTTCTCGAAGCTGATGCGGGCAACATTGACCGACGACTGATTAATCTTTGTTATCATGCAAACTCCGAATTAACCCTGACTTTGTGCAATTTTGCAAATTTAAGATTGAACAGTTTATTGTTTTATCAGATTATCAGTTCTTTTTATAAGCTTATTGTGTTTTTATGAGATTGTGATGAGATTATCGTTTTCATGAGATTATTAGCTATTATATTTTATGAGATTATCATGGCTTTATGAGATTATCGTTTTCATGCAGACTATTAGCTATTATATTTTATGAAATTATCATGGCTTTATGAGATTGTTTTCATGAGATTATTAGCTATTATATCTTATGAGATTATCATGGCTTTATGAGATTATCGTTTTCATGCAGATTATTAGCTATTATATTTTATGAGATTATCATGGCTTTGTGAGATTATTGTTTTCATGAGATTACTGTGGTTTAAGGCGATGATTACTATAGAGTTGAGATTGTACGAAAATTCCAGGGCAGTTATAAAGTTGTTGGCAGTTATAAAGTTGTTGTCAACATTTTAACCGCAATAATTTTCTTCTCAATTTCGAAATCTACAGTATTTAAATGACGTTGAGGAACATCTTGGTGTGTCAATACCGGAGTGTAATTCGGATATGGTTGTGCCTCAGAACGAGTTTGATGGAAAAGTTGTCTACGGAGCCAAACGAAAAAAATCAGGTATGTAATACTTGATTTAGTCTAGAGGGCCTATTTATGCCTGTAATTATCATGTTGGCAGGCCCATCCCCGTGGAGAGGGGGGGGGGGGAGCAGCTGCTCCCCTAAAAAAAGTGCAACTTACAATTTTTAGACGTTGTCATGTCATTTTGCCACGTCATATTTAAAAAAATGTACTTTTATACACTCAAGAATTATCACTGCCCCTCAGCTCAAACATTTTGTGTACGGCCCTGGATGTTGGATAGCCAGATTCTATGTGAAACCATTTGTTTGAAATGCGCTTTTTTGACCCAAAATGTGTTAGTTCTATAAGACATACCATTGCGACCATCTTGGATAGCCAGATTCTATATCACGAAACTATTTGTATGTGATTTTCTGCCCAAAATATTTAGGTTCTATGTACGAGAACCACGTACTGGAGTTAGAACCATCATTGGCCGAGTTGGTAAAGTTAGAAAAAGACGCACAAACCTCGTTTTTAAAGTTGAGGCGGAAGAAATGGACAGCGGTGCATTGAGTGAAGGCAAGTTTCATTGTTGTGTCGTAATCTAACCATGGATAATAAGATATTGCAGATAATGGTCAGACAAACCTAAATTATTGTTTTATTTTGCGACAATTATTTTCATACCTAAGTTATTGTGTTTATTTTGCAATGTCTGCAAATGACCACGCTATCTAGAGAGTTTGGTTGCTTTCAGTGTATTGACTATTGAGTCTCTAGTGAAAGAACGAGCATTTTTCCCTCATCAAGTTAAAAAATTAATATAATTACCACAAAGTATTATAAAAATGTAGTATTGTAACTTGTGCTGCCGAAAACAAGATCTTATAAACTATATTAATAGTTTATCGGCCTTTCGTTTAATTTGGATCAGTGCCAGTCCTTTTTATTATTATGTTGGCACGGTTGGCGATCCCACCGTCAAAAACAAAATTTGGCTTCCCAGATGGCTGTCAAATATCCTCATTTACCTGTGTAAATAGTGTTTACCGTCCCAGGTATAGCTGGGCTGACTCGACTCTATACATCTTCCCCCCTCTCTTATTGGCCGTTCCAGAATTGCACTATAATTGCGGGATTGCAGGTGGTTCCCCATAATGCATTGTCAACTTCGCTGCTAGAAAATTGGAAAATTGAGACTCGGAAAAATAATTCCCCGCGCTTTCTGGCGTGAAATTGAAGTTCTAAATATATTGCGTTAACTGTCATTTGTTTATTAAAATATGACAATATAATTTTTTGGTGGTAAAACCTAGCCCCCCCCCCTGATTCCAACCTCGTACCCGGGTCTTTACCTCCGCTAAAAGACTCTGGGTACGAGGTTCCTACGCCACTGCAATCCAGTGAACTCAAATAAGACTGAAACGCTAGCTCTCTGACATTCCGTCATTAATGAGTGAAGCCAAGATGGCGGAACACGAAACCTTTCTTGTTGGTATGATCCAGGCCTCGGAAACTTCCGACGGAGCTAGAGTTCCAGTCTTATTTGAGTTCACCACCACACTCAGGTCTATTTTTTCTGGGTTATGACGACAATTCAACAAGTGCTATATATAATTCTTTGAGATTATCGGGTTTACGTGTCCTGGAGATTCTCGCAAGCAGCCTTTATCACGCCGTCGATGATCGTGTCGAGTCTCGCGAAACTGACTCCGAAAGTGTAATCCGTTCCCGAGGAAAGGTCTTCGAGGAAAGCGAAAAAGGTCCCGCCATTTTCTGCCTCGCTGTCCTGTGCGTCCCCTTTGCCAACTCCTATCGCAATGATGCTCACGTCAGTCTTTAGCAACGCCGCTTCCCGGATGGCGGCATCGTTGTCATGTGACTCACCATCGGTCATGAGAATTATGACGTTGCGAACATCCGACCTATCGCCCCGCCGGCCATTAAAAATCTATAAAAATAGAAATTGAAAGCAAAATCTTCTCAAGGAAATGTTACACGAAGAAAATTTTACCAACTGATGTTGCCATTATAATCTTCATTAGTGTTTGAGAGATGTCTAGTTGCTGCATGGCAGACAAAGTATTTTCCTTTGTTGGTAACAACCATTGTTGCTCACTTAGAATGGCCGCCAAAACATCGCTGTGTGAACAGTGCTTACTGCGTTCCCAACAAGGGATTTCGTTTTAGACCAATCAGCAAATTTGTTTACATTTTACATTACATTACATGTGCATCCCAGTCAGAGTGCATATAAACATTCCGATGAAGAAGCATATTATTTACCATTTTACATGAAGTTTAAAAAATGTAGGCATTCTGATTGGCTTAGCTTGAAAAATGTAAACAAATTTGCCAGTTGGTTCAAAATGAAATTCCTCCTTGCTGCATGCGTTGCCAAACATACCTGTTCCCTGGCCATTTTTAAAGCAAAGTCAGTGTTTGTGGCGCTGCCATCACTCAGCTGCAAGCCATTAATCCGGCTCGTCAGCGAGGCTTTATCGTAATATTCGTCAAAGTGAAACTTTATGACCGTGGTCGCTTGGGCGCTAAATTGAATCAAAGCTACGCGACTTTGGTCCTCGGAAATGTTAAAACGATTTGTCAACTGTATGATGAAGTTCTTCATCAATTCGTATTCGCTGCGCCTCACGCTTCGAGAGTCGTCAATGATGAACAAGATGTCCGTGTTCCTCGTTTTGCAGACGACTAAAGTAAAGAAGAAATACTTAGGGTGCGTTTAAACCAGTAGAATCTGTTTTGTAAAGTGGAGCTGTCAAGTGGAGTCGAGCAAAAGCTTTCAAGAGAAGAAAATCGTAGGGAAATTTTGAATTTTTTATTCGAAGATTGCTCTCTTAAATAGAACATTTTTTTAATGAGACACCTTTGATTCTCTTCATTTATTAAATCATCTACTGACTATTTTGAAAATTTTGAATTTTGGCAAGCCATTTCCGTTAATTTTCTCGGCTTTTCTAAGCAGTTTTTACTAAAATCAACCTTAAACTGTAGAAATCTCTAGATCATAGTCTAATTGTTCATTGAAGTACGTGTCCGATTACCTTTTGCTTTCTCGCACAGCTTGCCTTGGAATTCATCACTGCAGACGCATTTGAACTCATCACCGTTCTCTACGCACGCCGCGTCATTTAGACACGGATCGCTGTAGCAGGGACCTGAGGTGAAGCAAGAAAAAATTACTGTGATTTTGTCCAGTTCTCGGAAATCTGAGATCTATTCCGAATACTCAACACGGAATTATTGTTACCTTTCTTTATCTCGCATATAGTTCCTTTGTACTTCTCCGGGCAGTGGCAGACAAAGCCGTCCTCCCTTGATTCTGACATCTTCCACCATTTAAACACGGGGCGATTGAACAGTCGCCTAGCGGGAGATAAAAAGACGAAACTCACGAAAGGTTGCATACATCTCGTAGTATTCTGTTGGGTTTAATGGCTCATTTCCCTTAAAAGTAAATCTAAAACCTGAAATATTCATCCGTACGGTTGTAAATAGCATCCCAAAATGAGTAAGAATGTTTCAGAAATATTGAAAAATGTGGGAAATAACTTTGCCAAGTTGGCAAGTTTTTGTATGAAATAATATTACACGCGAACTAAAGGAGCTGTCTCTGCAGGGAAATTGGCGGTTCCGCCCTGCCACGCCCCGTTCCACCTCTCCCCACGTCAATGGTAACTTGTGAAGGGGGTGGGGACCCAAAGTCCAAAGTGAAATTTCCTTTCAAACTGCACGCCCGAGCTGAAACTTACTTTTAGGTAAGGACGTCTCGACCAAGCGTTTCACGATGTTCTCCCTCTCGTCGAAAGCGTTTAAAAACACGTCTTTCTCTCTATTGGACGACATCGTTTTCAATTCCTTTTCAAATCTACTGATGTATTTCTTGGGGCCAAACCCAACCGTCATTACGTGATCGCCCTGCGACTTCATGCTCTTCGTGACTGCCTGTGCAATATGGGGGTCAGCGGCGTGGCCGTCGGTGAAAAGCATGATAACGTTCTTTGCGCCTGGACGATCGCCGCCCCTGCCGTTGAAAACCTGCCGAAAAAAGGTTTCCTGGATTATATTATAACTAAATCGATAGGGATATGTTCTGAAAACTCGACTAATCAAGACTTTGTCAAAACTTTCCTTTCATCATGTTTACAGCAATTTGATTAAGGGTTCTCCAAAGTGACCTTAAATTTTAAACTCTGAGCTCGCTAAGGATAAATGGATGTTGCTTTTTTAGGCGCAATTTGGAAGGATACGTAAGACAAATAGAATGACTCACAACTCTCTACTTTCCCTTGAGGAAAAAAGTGGCTTTCTAGAGGAATTTAGCACATATATTAAAGTCTCAAAAACACTTGTTCCTGGTCACACTGAAACACTTCTATAAAGTCAGTGCAAAGCACATAATGAACAGACTTTGTGTAATTTAAATACTTAAAAGGGATTGTTTTCACGGTATGCACCCCCTTCCTGGTAAGACATCAAGTGTCTGACAGCCACGTTTTTTACCCTTTCTTCGGCTAGTTTCATCGCATATCCGGTGTAGGTGTACTTTCTCTGGTAAACCATGTCCTCGATGGCCGTTTTCATATCTTCTTTGTTGTTAAAAGTATCCAAGTTGAATTCCACTTTCGTCAGCTTCCTTGAACTAAACTGGATCAATGCAACGTGGCATCCTTTTGGCGAAAAGTAGTCTATACACGACATACCATCTATTATTTGTTTGAGCAACAAGCGTAGCTTGTCGAAGCCTCGAGGAGTCACACTCCCTGAACCATCGATCATAAAAAGCACGTCTATTGGATTAATTTGGTTGGCAGGACCTGGGACGCTTCCTGAAAGATTGATTTTCATGATATAAGTGTTTTTCTAGTTTTGCTTTGGAATCGTAAGGCCTGTTTTAGACGTTTTCATGTGCCGAACCTAATGTTAATGAATGAGCTAAAGTCTTTGTTAAAGGTCATTTGCATTCGATTCAGCACATGAAAAGTTCGACGCCTGAAACAGGCCCTAAGCAATCTATATAAACAAGATCCATCTTATATAGCGAACCAAACGTGAACAGGCTCATGCATACTTCATCACATCACAGCTCCACAGAAACGTAATCATTTCATGTCTTAGAATTTACCTCCCCGACAACTGGTATATATTTAGCTATGTTTTCTGTTAGCAAGACCGCATGTGCAGGTGTTCAAAAAAACAGGACCTTTGAAACTTAATCGGCCACTGTTTTTAAATTATTTTATGATGCGTCACGATGAATGAGTTGTCAAATTTTCACAGTGACTTACGGTTAATTCAATTTGAGAGGTCAATGTTTTTTCACACACCTCGTAGTAACGCCTCCGTAATTGTTTTTGGGTGTGTGAATTGGAACACGCTCGTGCCTCAAAAAAACATTTTGGCTTTTGTTATGAACATTTAGGAACAACTATGAAATACCCCGCAAACTTAACTGTCAATTCAAACAACTAATTTTACACACTCAATAATAACTATTTATTTGCGGGTCAGCTTTCTCATACATTATTCTTCAAGCGTTTCATATTAATCATTCGTTTTAATTTAGTTGAGAGCTGTGGATTTCTTTACTGAAACGTGTTGTTTTAATGGCGGATTATTCTATAGTTATTCTGAGTGCAATTAAAACAATAGATAATGAGGCCCGACTACAATGCTACGAACAAAATAAAGACTCACTCGCTCAGCGCAAAAACTAACTCGTAATTTCGTCCAATCAAAATGCTTGACAGTTTATGTTAATTAGATGCAAACACTCACACAGCGAGCTTACGAGTTGATTTTGCAAAGAATGGTAAGAGCCTTAACACATGGTCAAATTTATACACATAGTGAACATAGGAACGGTTAAAAACTTAAAATTGTGAGTTTCTATTTGAATACTTTGCCAAACTGGAAATTGGCAGCGTGGCCTGCTACTGACAAACATCTAATCGAAACTCAAATATATGCGGGTCGAGTAATTCGCAATGGAAAGATCTTTAATTTCCAAACGACCAAAGGGAAACTAAATATGTTATTGCGAGTCGTTGTTGTTTAAACGAATTATTTGGGGGAATTATTGATTGCAGAGATATAAAAGGATGTTTATTCGAAAGCCAAAAGATTAGTCTTCATTTCTGCGTGAAAGGTAAGTGCATAACTATAATTATATGAACGTGACGATTCTGGAAAAAATTAGATCGCATTTCGTTCTTTACGCTTCGCATGCGGCCTTGTGTATTGTAGAACGTGTTGGTCCTTGAGGGACCAAGTTAAGGGTGGATGAGAGAGCTACAGTTTGCCTGGTTATGGCAATATTTTCACTGACTTGGTTTGGGTCAAGAACCATGTACATTGTAATTTTAAGTACCTGACCTGACTAAGCATCACACTGAGAAACCCGGTGGAAATCAAGCCTACCAAAGTTTCTGCCTCATGGGCAATATGGGGGATTTTCCAACTTAAACTTTAATGGAACATATTAATTATACATTTGAAGGGAACTAGTGATATCCGTTTGACACACTACACTTAGCACAGTGTGCTAGCATATGTTATATCCACGTCTTCCATCGCACATGTGATGGTCGTGATCGATACTTCGTAACTACCACTCAAATAAATAGCACCGATGACCGATTCGCATGCGGAATGCGTTATGTTGTTCATCATTTAAGAAGCCCTCGCAAATAATACGCATAAAATCTATCAGCTATTTGTCTATCTAAGGTATTCAAATCTGTTTGTCTATCCATTATTTATCTCTATCTACCCACTTATCCGTCTATCTACGGCTATATACAACCAAATAATGCAGATACAATGCAATTAGCGACAGTTTCACTGTGTCGAATGACATACAGTGTAAAAAAAAAATTGCAGAACAGTGGGCCTGTCACAAGGCACCAGCCGTGCTAGAATAATCAATAATGGTCCCGCAATTTTAATATAACCTTGGCTATACATAGAGGAATGGCGGAAAGTTGACAAAAGAGCTGTTAATTGCAAATACTTTAACCCTCTTATGTTATCTCACGTTCGCTTTTCAAGGACTTAATTTCCTGATATTCATCAAATTTATTGATATTGATCTAATCTGTCGAAGTATTGCAAGAATTTAAGTGTTGTTAAATGGTGTGTGCAGCCCAGAACTATATAGGCCAAGAACAGGGCAACACGGATTTTCTACGAACCTTTTATTCCGTTATGAGACTTCGCATCGGAAATGAAAAGTCGTTCGATACCGTCAGATCAAGCTTTTAACATGATTGTGAATAATAATTAACATTATTTCACATAAAATTCTCTATTGACGAAAATATCAAAAAATATAAGGCGAAATATATATCATATCATAACCAAAGCAAAATTATAGCGCATCTTTTCAACAAGTTGTTGTTGAAGCGCTAACCTTCGCTTCCTGTTTTATTTTTGGTTCGACAAAATCGGCTTTATTCTTTTTTGAGTATTCAGGCACGACTGAAAACGAGAAACGTCTCTATGACTATGCTGACATACATGCTGAGATATATAACGTACCGCGCTTTAATTTTTTATCTTACCTGCCAACGCTTGCCACGCGATCATTGATAACACAAGGAGGAAGGCGAATACACGTGTACCAAAATTCATTTTCTAGAGAAAATACGTAGAAAGATCTTAATATTATATCTTTTAAATTAGTCATTAGTTTGGAAAAGAGTGATTTAGAATGGAATGAAATAAAATTGAATAGAATAAAACGGAATGGAATTATTTATTTAGAATGATTTAGAATGGAATGATTTAGAATAGAATGATTTAGAACGGAATGAACCAGGATAGAATGATTTTGAATGAAATAACTTAAAATAGAATCTTTAGAACAGAATTAAGTGAAACAGAATAGAACGATTAAAAATAGAATGATTTCGAATAGAATGTATAGAACTGGTTTAGAATAGAATGTTTGGAGTAGCATGAAGTAGATTAGAATGATTTCGAATAAAATGAAATAAAATAAAATGATTTAGAAAAGTTTAAACCAGATTAAAATGGTTTAGAACGAAATGGATTAGAATAGAATGATTTAGAACAGATTGGTAGAACGTATTACAGTTGCATAAATTAGAATGAAACGGATTAGAATAGAATGGATTAGAACTGAATAATATAAACAAGTGTGAATTAGAATGCGTTGATTTCAAATGGAACAAGAGTTGAATAGATTACAACAGAATGGAACGAATTACAATTAGAATATAATAGTTTCGAATCGACAAAAGCAGAGCAGAAGAGAATGAACAGAGTCGAATAGAATAAATTGGATTAGCCAATGGAATGATTTAGAATTGATTTAATTTCAATACAATGGGCTGGAATGAAATCATAACGGATTAGGTGGGAATATCCCCTGCAGTGTCGGATTAACTATTAAATCAATACTGTCGTATCTCTCGCGATGGCAACGAATGTTTTATTTTATTCATTTCCAGGATAAATAGAAGGATTGTATCGGGGTTTTGTTGCGTCTGTCGAAAAACAATCACGTCTCAAAGAGCGCACTTTTACGCCATAAATGCTGTAGCTATGGTTACTATCCCGCTCATCAGCATTCTGTCATCACCAATAACCGTAAAATACCTTTTATAGATGTAAAACCTACCCACAAACTGTTCATATCTGCGCGCGATTTATTGGCTTGCAGCCTGTTTAATAAAAGAGCGGAAGATGCAGACTCTATTTCGCTATTGTCTTTTCAACGCCTTCTAGGCCCTTGTGACCTGAATCCGCCTTGAATCTTTCATTTCTTCCTACTAAACAACGTCTTTAACCTTTGACAAAATTTGACATCGAATTTCAATCGCAGCACGCCAGATTTGCAGTGCAAATTCCACACCGTATTATACCAAAATAATTCGGTATCGCCTTTCACGGTGACAGATTCACTTTCGCGGCACAGAATCAAAATACAAACGCATGTACAAAAAGCTAAAAAAAATTGTAATCAAATTCTCGGTTCGTTCTTTAATTTTTAAAGAAAGAAAGCGGCTGCAGCTTCAAATTCTTACGCAAATTCCATGAACAGCAAAACCTGTTTGACGTTTATCCCAAAACAAATATACGCTCGCAGTTTATAAGTGCCGATATCCTATGTTATTTATAATGTCATTTGCACATACGAAGGGTTTCCTGTACTGTGCACTGCAGCGGCAAAATACATGATTCGTAGTCAGTTATTTTCGCGGCTAGTTCTTGCTGTTTTAGCACGTAATACCTCAGCATAGGATCATATTATATACATCAGCCATCAGGTGATTGTATACACTGGTTTTTATCCACAATCATTAGGACTCCCTGTCCCTGAGAATCCTGAGATGAATAGGATATACGCATCGTATGATGCTCCTCGTTGACTTTTCATAATATAAAAAATCGGCCATGGCACTAAACCCAGTTTATTTACGTTTGTAGAAGGACATTTATGTCACGAAAAAGCGTGCGTATATAACTCGTTATCTTTACAAAACTACAGAAAGATATTACAGCGTAATTACAGCTTCTCCAAAGGCTCATAATGAACAGGGTTTAAAGGGATATTAGCATAACACCTCTTGATTATTATTACTTCTTGTTTATTGAATGAATTTTGTCGGTGTCCTACGAAATAGTCCTCGATCTACTAGAGAACGAATCCGCAGTCAAATTACTCAAATATATTACACCGCGTTCGACCGTGATAGATTATAGACCAATATTGTGTATTTTAATTGGCATACGATTTACCAAATACATGCTAATAGATTTTTAAGACCCTACCTTGTAAATTTTACCGCGTACCAGTTGTAGACTGTCACGAGAATGGACGATGGCCCGCACGCGATATATGTAAATTAGCTGCGCCCGTACGAGCGAACCAACTCGAATGTTCTGTCAGGCCAAAATACCAGTGCGCACTTGGTATGCGCTCGAACAGAAAAGTGCGCAGCTACGAGTAAGCCACTCGATTGATATGTCACTTCTTAAGCCGTGGCAACCAGTCCACGCTGGAATATTTGCGCATGCCAAACCCTACATCAAGCACAAGGACTCGTTGATTGACAAGTCTCAAATGATATGCAAATTGTTTGGAGTCAGCGAACAGTTGCCTAATAGATGAATTGCTTAAAAAACCACCAGTATTAGTCCCATAAATGGGAAGATATTTACTTTTTCCTTTATAATTTTCTTTCAAATTGCGCATATTGGGTTTATTTTCGGCGGCCCAAATTCGACGCCATAGTGTTGTTTAAAAAATGAAGTGGGCTTAATGTGGGCTGCGGCTGCGATGGCACGTTCGTGTTGATAATGATAACAAGTGAATAGGTTTGTTTAACGATAAGTTTGATTTTTCGTTGATAACTTTTATGAATCCGCTCCAGTTGAAATCGTCAGATTTTTAATTCCTCTGGTACTCGCACAATGCTCTTTTAGACGAGACATCGGAGTTATATATACTTTTATCGAAAGTTGTGCTTAAGAAAATAGAGATTTTTTAAATTGAAAATTTATACTTAGATGGAAAAAACTGGCATACTTATAGGGAAAAAACTGATGGCATTAAAGATAACAACGTCGTTTATTGGCTGATCTTCTGTTTGTAAATTTCTGATTTCTTGTCTTACATTGGCTTGCTTGGCCAACGAGATACAAAGTTCATGGCATATGAGTCAGCGTATTTCGGGTGTTTGAATACTTTGTCGTCAGTTTGGTGGTTATTTAGGCAATTGGTAGTCAGGCTTCCAGCAGAGTGGTCTGCTGATGATTAAAAATTCAAAATGCGTTCGGTATTGTAAAATAAACAATATTCTCATTGGATTAAACTGCTTTAAAGGTGGCACAGGTAATGCCCCGCGGCCCTTAAGGATCCCCTATCTTGGGTAAAAGTAATTAAATTAAAGGTTTAGCAGATAGAGATATAGTGTAGTTGAGTAATATTTCACCGTTTAATCCAAGAAAAAGATGAAAGGTGGTGGATGCAAATATCCCTGCGGTAAACACGCAGTCGGAATTCTCTATAAAAAAAATCCGGTGTCGTTTAAAAGCGGATTCAGCTGGGGCAGGTGTTTCTCTTTTTTGGTAAATTTCACGTCATTAGTTCTTTTTTCGCAATTTTTTCTTCACCCACGCATTCTTGAAAATTGTGCAACTGCTATCTTTTTCATTATCGTGGATTGATTTAGAGGTTACGTTCTTGCTCCATGAAAGACAAAAATCAGGAGAATCAGGAGGATATCGTTTGATTCCAACTCGTCGTGAAATTTTAGGTTAAAAAAATGACAATTATAATATGACAGACCGAGACATGAGCGGAAATTCAATAATTTTATTATTTCTAAAAACTTTGCATTTTGTCGGATTCTAATAAGTATTATGCATAGCGGATATCACATTGGCATTATTTATCACTGATATAATAAATAAAGAGCCAATTTGCAGTCATCTAGAGACATTCGCAAGTTAACATTTTTCAAATCCTCGCTGCCCTCGTACAAAAATAGGGCTTAAGGAGATTTTAACCCTTTTTTCAACAAAAACCTATTACAAACAATTCCAATAGTTTGTTAAAAGGTTTAAGTTAAGACTTTTCCACAAGCATATTTTGAATTAACGTGTTAGTTTTTTGAAAGTATTGAACATCAAAGCGGACAAAATAACATTGACCCCACCCAAATTAGTGGATTAAATTTAAGTCAGCAACTCAAGTGCCAGTGGACTGGTGGAACTAAGTTCTTTGATAAAAAAAAAGGAAATACATGAAAAAACCATTTTTTTCCTAAACGCATCTGGGATGTTCAGAAGATTCAAAAAGGAAGTGTATAGAAAAAAGGATCTTTTTTGTCTTTGCATGGTCTTGCCAAGTAAAATAATGCTAAGTGATTTACCAAATGGAACGAAATAGATTTACAATGCATTGTTTAACGTCATTTCCGCTAAGCCCAGATAAACTTTTTTCTAGGCATAAGATGATGAAAGCATTAATTGGACAGTTTACATCTTCTAAATATAACAAATATTATAATCCTCAAACAACACGCAGTTCAAGTGGCTTAAGCAGTTCAAGTTTGGAGAAAAATTTTACAAAGTCGAAACGAGCTCGGATTTGAAAAATAAGAACTTGTCCTTTACTTAAATTGGCGACTTGTAATGAACTCAAAATTACAGAGTATAGCTTATGACTTTTACTGATTAACTATGTTTTTACACCTTAGCCATCTTTCTTGGATCACACAGGTATTTTTGAAAATAGAGTTCCTTCGTATCATAAACGATAACTGTACTGCTATACCACAGAAACTGGACAAGTCAGTCGACTATGTTATATACGCATCTTTCTCCATCCGAGGATCAAATGGAGATCAACTCAGTGCACGGGGGGGGGGGAGCAAGAGAATTATAGACTTTACTTAATGCTGCTGCATATGCATATTTGCCCGCAACATATTATGCAGATTTATTTTTTTCACTCCTAGAGGTCAAGCTTGACCATTTTTCGCTCATATTGTAATATACTTATTGAAACCGACCTATATAGCCTAAATTGTCAGATCATCTACATACATTATTTTGCGGCTGAAAACGAAGCCGCCGACATGCATGTTTATTATATGCTGCAATAACCCTTCCGACATCTTTGACCAATATTATACTGTACATATCGCGCGTCACAAATTAGTCCCACATTGTGGAAACCATCTCACGAACTCTCGGAGCCAGACTGCGTGTTGCTCTCCATATTCGCCAGCTTCTTCGTCCTTGTCATTTTTTCCAGTTCGGCACTGGCGTCCTGTCTTACAGACGACTTGCCAACTTGGGCGTTTGACTTCTTGCTGAGCAAACTGTTGAAGAAGTTTGCCAAAACTCCTTCGCCAGGACCCCCTGCGCCAACCTTTGCTCCATCCTGCAACAAATATTTAAACGTTTGTTTTAACTGTTAATATCACGCAGTTTACTTCCTTACGTGTAGTTCATTGCAAGATTGGAGTATTTACTGTCCTAACCTACCAGCAAAATTGCTTACCTTTGATTTAATTGTGCTTCCGGCACCCGTAGCAGCCCTTCCGCTCGGAGAGATTCGACTTGCACTAGGAGAGCCAGGTATTCTTGATTTGGTCATATCCTACAATAAAACAGACAGCGAGTATAATCAATTCTGAAATCATTTGTATTGCAAGTGCACGTGAACTATCTCTATCGACAAGCTCTTACCATCATGCCTGGCGGCCTTGACAGCCCGCTCGCAGGTGGATTCATTAGCAAGGCTTGCTGAAAATAGCAAAAAACATAATTGCGAAACATTGCATATTGGGAATGAAGTGAGGTCGTAGAATCATCGAATCATGGACTTTAGTAGTAAAGGATGAAGAGTTTTTACAGACGCTTTATTTATACTAATATTACTACAACTAGCTCCTTCTTAAAGCTCTTTCCAAATATCCAATATACAAAATCCCATTAGTTTAAAACCTGTTGCTTTTCTAAGAACGACTGTTCTTCTTCGCATTTGAGTTCCATATCTTGAATAGGCTGAAATGAAAAAACAATTAATGTTGAAAGCATGTTTAACTTATCCTTACGAGTCCAAATATATACCAAGCACTCAATTTAGTTGGCACACATGAAAATATATATAGGATACACTTTTGTTTTTAAAAGTTACTACAATACTTGTCCGTACCCTTCTATATTCTGGTTTTTTAATATGATCTTCAAATGCATCCTCTACTTTGATGCGATTCATTTGTTCATCGAGAATGTTTATTTTTGATATACTATCCCAGCCAGTCGGTCTGAAAAAGAACGCCACAATCAATATAGTTTAACTATAGCTTAATTTAATTTTTAAAAAATGGTAGGTCTAAACTGTGCTTGGCGTGACTACAATTCTTTTAGTTCATAATTTCTTTTAGTTCACATCTGTTATTCGATGCATGCCTTGTTCTATCCAAAAAAGGTATATTCACGTAAAGGTCTACACTAAAAGGACAGAAATTACAGCGTTTTGTTGCAAAATGTTGTAAAATACAGCTTTCCAAAGCCCGCGAATGTTGTTTACATCGTTTTTAATCTTATAGCAAAATTTCCCGCCAAAACCGTTAACGCTAAAAAAAGATGGCGGCATGTCCATTTTGGAAACACGCAATTTTTTTTAATTTTACTCGACATGAAGGACTTGAATTCTTTAAACGAGTCTTGATCCGGGAAAGCAGACCTATATTCGTGAAAAACGCAGGAAAAAAGCGAATAGTCAAGCGTATTAATGACAAACGTACGTCTATATCTACAACATGTTTTTTTGCACAAAGTTTAACAACCTAAAATTTTAAATAAACAGACGAATATGCCTTCCACAAACAAGAAAGGTAGAAAATTCTTATTAAATTATTGTTGTATATAAAACACCCTGTATTTGTTATCGCAATGGATTTAAAATCGGAAAGAAATGGTTTAAAATCGCGAAGAAATGCTTTTAGATATCCGTCATTTGGAGTGAAAATATCTAATGCTTACAGTAGTCTGATGATACTGTGAAGGTACCTACATAAAAATAGATTCTCTATCAAGGACAGAGGCTGGAACTCTAAATGGAAATCCGTATATTCTGTGTAGAAGATATTTTTTTAACAAGTTACAATTCTTTGATTCTTTAACTGATGTATAAACTAAACCAGCACCATCTTATTGTATGGGTCAAGGTGAATTGCAAGGAAATAATGATTTTGTGTCATCAAATACAGTAACACTAAATAGAAAACTAATATCAGGCGAATTCATTCAAATGAAAAGGATACATTTTAAGCAGAATCTTCTTATTTGCTGCTGTATAAAATCGAAATGCTCATTTCTATAATCCCTTTCTTTTTCTAAACTTAACATGGAATCTGTCTGCAAAGAGAAGTAGAAAACTATTGTGAGGCTTCAACAAATGCTGTTTATATACCAGCTGGGTTAGTTAATGTTGGGCAATTAAGCCCTGCAGAGTAAATTCATGTTTTTTACCTTAGTGCAAACAACAACTATAGGAAAACCAAGATTATCTGTTAAAACATTTGGGTCTAATGGTAAAACAACATCATCCTCTTCGCTGCCAATTTTTCGTTTCTCTTCTCCTTGTTCTGGATCAATGTATTCTTGGAATTGTTTAGTTACTAGAAATACACACAGCTCAATGTTTCACATGACAAATGACAAAAACATGATAAATCTTAGTATGCAATGCTTAAAAGCAGCATTTTGTGAGTGCTTGCTCATCTGAAGATAGAGACAACACAAAGAAAAAAATTATTGTAGAGGGGTAGGGGAACACCAGAAATAGCTTTTAACCTATTTGGCTGCTAGTTTTACTCAACTGCAGAATTTAATTTGTATGGAATTTGCCACGAAGGCAATACACCCAGTGGATTAATCACTAATTGACAATATTCTTTCACTAAAAACTTATATCTGGTGAATAGAACAGAAAAACTGAAGGAATGCACAGTTGCTACAATATATTTAGTTCAAAAGTAAGTTCAACACTAATATAGCATTTCTAATGCTTTTTTGAAGAACACAGATTTCTTATGCTCAGTCAAAATTGATGGAACCATCAACTTAAATGGAAGTTGGAACCAACTTACTATTATGTTCCATTTCATTTAGCTCTTTTGGAGAGAGATTTAATGAGTGTATATGCTCCCTTAATACATGTACCCAGGAGTTTAACGTATCCATAATTGTCCATGGTCTAGACATGTCAATAATGAGAATAACAGTCACATCTTTTGCAGACTTCTTAGTGATGGCAAACTTGAGGAGATTCTTGTATCTAACATCACCATCCATTATCCAAACATTTAGCCTTGTACTATCTAAAGATATATCAAACATTGCCATACTCAGCCTATGTATGGATCTGTCAAAAGTTGTGAAAGTTGCAAATCAGGTGCGTGAATGAAATAAGATGTGGGGAAGCCTTTTCCCCCCAGAAGTGTCATTTTCCAAATCTAATGACTCCCCATCATATACACAACTGTGCATTGTAATGTACAACTGTACGTACTCCATACATTACAACTGTAATTATAGAACAGCTCTTGCTGTGAGGGAACACAATAATTTGATTGGTACAATATCATTATAAGCAATTAAGTTCTTAGATTTTTCTTTAGAAACTAAAAATAGTTGTACACTCAGAATTTCTTTTAGTGATTATCATAAGACACCAGTTTAGCCAATATCACAATATGTTTAAATCTTCAATATGCTTAATAGACCTTAATTTTTTTCAGGACTTTAGAAAATTGTTTAAATTCATTCAGGAAATAGCTACTTATATCTGATGTTTCACTAGCCTGAGGAGCAGTACATTCAATGATTCTACCCGACTATCATTGTACAATAGTAGGAAACAAACAGCAATGAATATTTAGGTGCGATGTACAAACACATTGTCCAATTTGCATCAAAGCATTGAGGACGTGCATAGACAAGGGTCTTGCTGTACTTTGTAGCGAATATATGCCATTAAATGACATGTTTTATTAATCTTGTGTAAACACTGACATTTTGATATGAAAGATTCCGTAAAGTGTTGTTCTAATATAACAATATGCGGAAACTTGCATTAAGCAAGCAAAATATACAATGTGCAAAAGTACCAAGGTACACGCCTTTGCATATTTTGGGGCAGATATCATAGACAGACTCTAGAAAATGACATATTTTACCGTCTCTCTCCTCGTCATAGACATTGATGTAACTATATTCCATCGCATGACCCTTTTTCACTTCTGCTACGCCAGTTTGTAACTTCACAATCAAGCTCGTCTTCCCCGTGCCATCATTCCCTAGGAAACAACGTTGGTTAGTAGCGAGGACTCCGTGAAGATACGAAAGATGAACGCGATCAATTTACCTAATAACACCAGAGACTTGTTCGAAGGTAGCTTTCGCGAGGCGGATGAAGAAACGTCGTTCAGTATGGAAGACCTGCGAAATATATAGAAAAGCGAAGCATTATACAAAACGGTGATGCTTTCAGGAATTCATTACAGGCGTCTACAGTACCATAAGTCTTCTTCTTCCTCGTCATGTTTACTGTTTTTCAGACCTTCAACATTACTCTCTAAGTCCGCCATTTTGATTATTGACAAATTTTATAATATTTTGATCTGTCGACGTCGCCCTTTGGCCGCGAATATTTTGGAAACTAGTGACTAGACAATCTCCGACGCCAAGACGGTCGGAAACCGTCGGAAGACGACGCAAGCAAGAACCCGCGAAACTTTAATCTTGCTGAAGAAAATTATGCTCTAAAAGTTCTAAAACGCAAATTTTTGTTCGAAAGAAATGTAATTGGACGAATTTTTGGTTCTTTGAAATGTATCAGTCGAATCTCTACGATTGGATGAATTCAGTAAGTGTTCGAAATCAAATCTGCGTAATTAAATTTATGAAATAGATTTACAAATTGGATTATCTGAATGGCTGAATTTTAGAATTGATGTTGATTAACTGGTACATAAATTGTACAAAAAATTAAATGTACAAAAGCTCTTTCTGCGAGTTTTTTAAGGTTGGATAGAGTCCGTATTTACATTTGGAATCCGTATATTTCCTGAAATAATAAAAATATCAAGAACTTTCAGAATATAATTAAATTAGTTGTAGGCACACAATGTATAAGTATTTAACTTTGACATGCTTTTAGTTCGCTATACTGTTATGTTCAGAGATATAAGAAACATGTGAAGTTTGAACAATTTTAAAACATGTAGACTACTCATTGCCATGAGCAGAACTGATGCACAGAAGTGACTCTAACCGCGTTTTAACATACCACTTGGAAATTGACTATCAACAATAACTTTGTAACTATGTATTGAACATGTTGATGATCCGGAACATTAGGAAAGGCAAACTATTGTGTCGATTAGTTTTGGCAGTTATCGGGACCTTTTATGGGGTAATTACCCGATATTATTACCACAATATGGCGATCATTAGATAAAACCTGGAAAATTGTTACATAACAATATAACAAATATTTATTCTATCCATCACGTGCCCCCCACCTACTTAAGCTGAAGTGTAAGACAGTTCACCCCTGTTACATTTTTTACAGACCTGATATAATCAAACACAGAATCCAATTTTGAGCATAAAATTCCTTGTTTTACGAGGCAAACACTCATTATTTATTAAAAGTAGCACAATAATTATAGTATTCTTAAAGTTTAAAATGCTCATTATATACAATTAAACTGGTTAAGTCATGTTTCAAATCTGTTCTATTTCCTGTCGAATCTACATCATATACAAAATTTTTCTTTGCAAAAATCTCCTAATCTGTATTGGATCTTGTTTACTCTGGTTTTTCATGATTTTCCACGAAATCTTGCAAGATTGAGGCACGTGATCTCCCCAGGCTCTGGACATATGCACGCATAAAGTTTATTCCTTGATTTTAGATTCGCTATGTTTGCACTCGTAATCTAACTTGAGGTATTTATACGTGCTAGGGCAGTCCGTTTTATCGAAGAAAATAGTGGAAGCTGATATCTCGCATGCGTTTTCATCTTGACATTGATTTCTCACTTTTGTCATTGTATTCGACTCGTCTTGTGGGCACATGGCATCCGTCTTTAGTCCACGTGATACGGCATTGTTTGTGCACGTGTCGCTATCCTCGCGACCCCAGAATGCCGATTTGATGTTGATGAGTTTGTATTTGTCGCACTCGAGCCATTCCTTCTCGCCTTCGCACGTTATCGTTGTTTTCAATTCTGAACCCTGAATTGCAGGGTTTACAAATGTTAGAGATGGACACGGGGGGGGGCGGGGGTCGTATGAGAGGTCATTATAAGACATTGGGTGTATAAGGGTATAGGGTATTAAAGTTCTCCTTGACATTTGTCCCTCTAACTTTCGTGTTAAATTCCTACCTTAGGTTTCCCGGGGATGCCAGACCTCGCGAATGGCTGAGTCGAGCCAGAGTTTCCGAACCCACTTCCGAAGAGGGCCGCAGGCGGTTGCGGTTGTTGGGCACCAGCATTGCCAGTGTCCGCTCCTTTGATGAAAAAGCCAAGGGGTAAGTGCTCGTTCCAGTAATAATCTTCTATGCTGTCTCTTCGCGTCCGTTTGAGCACATGAGGCTGTTCCTCGATCGGGATGCAGAACTACTCGGCCATTAAAGAAGAGAGATAAAAGAATTATGAACCTGTCTAGATTAGTATAGTTAAAATCTGATTTTTTCTTTGGGAAATATTATCCTAAGAAAGAACGGGCTTAAGAATGGATATAAATGCCCATCGAATCACCTTCAGTTACCTTTACCGACCTACCGTCATCAATGATGCACATTAGTGATGCATTACTCATTTACTTACCGCGATGTTAAATGCGCCGATAATGACAAGAAAGCCCGCTAGGCTTTGTGGTAACTTCATTACCTAAAAAACATGAGTTTGAATGATGTTTTGTAATTGACTTCAAATTTTATACCGAATACGAATTTGGTGAATTGCAGTGAAGAACTTGCGTTGAAAATTTATTCTCCAGGCTAACGCGTAGCCGATCGTATATAGGCTGTACGAAAACATCATTTTATAGCACTGTTTGATTCAGTATAATACCTGTCCCTAGATTTTCGAATCTAATGCTTTTTGGTATGTCTCGTGAGATTGTGCTCTAGCTCCTCACCCAGACAAAATCTTCATAACTTTTCGAATCTAATGCTAAACTATTGTTGAAAAAAACTATTCACTGAAATGTTTTGAATGGAATTCATATTTATAACGAGTTGGATCTGTTCTCACAAAAATTTAGGCAACACCTTGTATCTATATTCTCGTGTATCTCATATTTTCACACTTTAATAAGTTACAGCATTCTAGCTAGATGGCTACATTGCTCATTCCCTCAACTTGGATATGCCAACGACCGTTATTTTGTGATCAATCGCATTCCCATAGCCATAGGATTTACAGTTATTAAAGTCAGCTTAAACTTCTTAAACAATACCGCTTACCATCCGTAGTAGTTTAAAGTAACCTGCAGTTAAAAATATGTAGTAATGCTCTCTCAACTATAAGAAAGGAGTACTGTGTCCCAAATTTATTTTGGGATATATTCCGTCTAATGCTATGAATATAATTTTAATGTTTATTCATGGTTGTTGACCCGACCGTTACGCCGGCTGATTCCGCGATGTAAAAGAAACCTACTACTTAACATCTTTTCCTAAATATCTCCATCAAATGGAAAATTTAACGGAAGAAATGCATAATTTTATATCAAGTTCAGACTACGAACTTCGCGTTTCGGTTATGTTTATATTTTTTTACTTTGCAGGTATAATAAACAACGATAATCATTATCATGATAAAATGCCATTTGTTAGCTTAGAAATATCAAATATGAATTATAGTGTTCTTACCTATTTTTCAAATATTCCTTCCTAAAGGCGATGTATGCTGTAAATTTTGAAGAAAGCCACAAATTTTATAATATTTTACAAAGAAGTGGACTTAGTTACTTCCTAAGATCATCGGCTCGTAAAAGCATTGCGTCATCGACTCTCGCGTCAGGTTGTCAACCCAACCGAGTGCTTGTCCATTCAACCGTGAAAATTTCTTGTCTTTTTAGTTTGCGGGCTTTTTCCGATTACTTACGACTGATTGCGAGTTTTTACGATCGTCTTCCGTGCAATTCACCGGAAAATGTATGGGGAATGGAAAATTCCACTTACAAACTCTTAATGGCCAGAATTTTTAGTTTATTTCATTCGTTGATTAAATAGCAATTTCTTCGAGAATAAGTTAGACACAAATAAAAGCGATATGTATTTTATTTTACGACGTTTCGATGATAAGAATTAGCATCTAGACGTTGTAAAATATAGTTTATATCGTTTTTATTTATTCCCTTGAGTCGGGTTTTTTTAACGTACCCTTCAGTGCTAATCTCTCGGGAAATCGCTTTACGGAGCCAAATTGGAATAAGTGGGATTGTTAGTGAGTTTTATCCAATTTAGATGCGAAGGGTAGTCGAACTAGAAATATTAAAAGATATTAAGTTATTTCAACCGAGAAATGTATTTTTATTAAACAACCATTCCCGGTCATTTCCCGCCATTTCAGATCACCTGAATATGCATGTATTAAATCAACTTTGTCCATGGGAAATGTTAATCGTGAGCGAATGTTCAGGCAACTTAGGCGAGAAACTTAAATATTACTTGAGTTCTAAAATTCAATAAAGTCTATTTTATATTATTTTTGACGAATACCTATAGTTCGGATTTGAAAACAAAACTGGACCGTTTTTACCATTTAAAAAAGAAATATGGAGAAGTTTTATGCCAACGTATTTCTAATATTATCTTCTACAGAATTTAACATTATGACGGGAAAAAAGAATTGCCATTTTCAAACGTTTGTGATAAAATTGATGTTGTATATTTGCTTCGATTCATTAAAGTTGTCATTAAGTTGTATATTTGGCAAGATCATTAAGTCGTTATTGTGGCCGGCTTGTGTCATTTTGACAACCAACTGAGTGCTTGTTTCGTTCAATTGTGAAGACATGATATGTCTATATGAGATTGCTGCACAATTGGCCCTGATGGACTCCCATACTGTGGAAAGACTTCGCTTACCACCTTCTTACCAAAGTAATATATCTCTCCTGAAACGAACAATATGTTCCCTTGATATGGAAATTCGCAAATATCAGACCAATACAAAAATAAAAAATAGTCAACATCTGATTGCAGCCAGTTAAGACCTATCTCACTGACTAACACCGTTATGAGACTCTGAGAAAATTGTTTTTAAGGAGGAAATTCTGGAACAGTCTAACTCGTCATTAGCCATAACCAGTTTGCCTAAAAAAAGAGACGAATATAACATCGGCCATTATCAAAGCCAGTACCATTGGTTAAAATGGTTAGACGGGAATGCTGAGTTTGTTAGTTTCTTAGCGAATAGAAAACAAAGATGGAATAACAACAGAATGTGTAGTTATCAACAAAGGAATGCAACACAGGGAAGTGTCATTCGTCCTTTTCTATTCTCTCTTACCGTCAATGACATAAAACTTGAAAAACCAGAAATTACCTTGCGAGTTAAATTTGCTCACGATATGACAGTTAGCGCACCAGTAAAGGCAAATCGTGATTCTGCAGAAATGGGTGTGAGAAATATTGAGAGTTGGGCAAGGAGAAACAGAATGTATTTAAATCTATCAAAAATTTGGGAGATGCTCTTGAGTGGCGGGACTTCTAAGATACCACCATTGGCCGCCCAAGGTAGTAAACGCAAAAAAAGTTAAAACTGTCAGGTCTTACTTTTGAGGATAATGCGTGCTGCTGGGACCTACAAGTTGATGGCTTGCTGACAAAGGCTGGGAATCGAATGTATAAATAAAATATATTAATATTTAACGAACATCTCAGCTATCTTTTTGAGTCAATTATACTATCGTTGTTTCTGTACCGTATCGAAGCGAGCTTATCGGTGTGGATATGTAATAAAAGTCTGTTAAACACATGTCTGTTTGACTATTTTTATACTTAAATGCATGTATATATACCATTTTATATTATTATATTAATAAGATTTTTATCAATAATTAGTATATTCTTAATATTATTCTCAAATCATGTAAAAACACACGTTTGTTGTGTCTAGGAACATTTGAATAAATAATAATAATAATAATAATAATAATAATCCACAATCTATTGACAATCTATTCATCCTCTCGTGATCTACAATTTACAACTATTTTACATTTTGGCAATAACAAGTATTTTACTTTTTGCGCAACTTTTATGACAATCAGAATGGCGATTTGATGTTGACGAGTTGGTATTTGTCACACTCGAGCCATTCCTTCTCGCCTTCGCACGTTATTATACCTGAATAGGAGGGTTTACAGATGTTAGAGATGAAGACGGGGGGTCATGGGGGGTAGTTATAGGAACTGGAGTACTGATAGGAAAGACATTTCCTACACTACCCCACAACGGATTGTGACTAACAAGAAGGGGACAATTTCGACATTTGCCCCTATAACGTTTGTGCTAAACTCTTACCTTAGGTTTTCCCGGGACGGCAGACCTTGCGTGTCGCTTAGTCGATCCAGAACCGGCGTCTCCGAACCCACTTCCTGCGGCAAACCTTGCGTGTCGTCTCTTCGATCCAGAACCGGAGTCTCCGAACCCGCTTCCTGCGGCAAACCTTGCGTGTCGTCTCTTCGATCCAGAACCGGAGTCTCCGAACCCGCTTCCTGCGGCAAACCTTGCGTGTCGTCTCTTCGATCCAGAACCGGAGTCTCTGAACCCACTTCCTGCGAAGAGGGCCGCGGACGGTTTTTGGTCAGCAGTATCGTCAGCGTCCGCTCCGTTGATGAAATAACCAAGGGGTAAGTTATCGTTCGAGTAATAATCTTCTATGCTGTCTCTTCGCGCCCGTTTGTTCACATGAGGCTTTTCCTCAATCGGAATACAGAACTGCTCGCCAATTAAAGAAGAGAGATAGAGTTATGAACCTGTCTAAATTACCATTGTTAAAAGCTGGTTTCTCCTTACGATAATTTTCCTAGAATTGGCTTAATGATTGATGCTAATCCACATCGAATCACCTTCAGTTACCTTAACCGACTAAATCTGAAGTTCTTAGTTCAATAAGCTCGAACATCACGTTAAAAAGTAAACACATCAAAGAGTCCGTTCCCAAATTCGGTCATTAGATATTACTTATCAGATATAATCAACTAGATAATTGGGTATAATTAGATATAATCAACTAGATAATCGGGTATAATTAGATATAATCAACTAGATAATCAGGAACGACTAATTTTAGTTTTAAACATTGAACAATCTCATGCACAACCGTCATCAATGATGCACTTTAGTGATGCATTTTCTCATTTACTTACCGCGATGTTAAATGCGCCGATAATGACAAGAAAACTAACTTGGATTTGTGGTGACTTCATGACCTAAACAAACGTAAATTTGCATCTTGTTAATTTTTTGGAATTCAGATTTTATACTGAACAACACAAGTTGGTGAAATATATTAAAATGTTTGAATGTATTCAAATTTATAATGAATTGGATCTGTTCTCCCAATTTAACAACACCTGTATCGATATTTTCATGTTTGACATATTTTCGCACTGACATAAGTTTAGCATTGTAGGTAGATGACTACATTGCTCATCACCTCAACTTGAATATGCCAACGATCGTTATTTTCTGATCAATTGCATTCTCATAGCCACAAAAATAATAAGGAAACTTCCTTATTCTGCGTCATAGCCATAAGATTTACAATTTATACGTTTAAAGTCAGCTGAAACTTACTAAATAATACCACTTACCATCTATAGAAAGGCGTTTGAAGTAATTTGCAGTTAAATATTTTAATGCTCTCTCGACTATAAGGAAACAGTACTGTGTCCCAAATCCTAAGATCATCAACAGTACTGTGTCCGAAATCTTAAGATCATCAGCATCGGATCATCGTAAGATCATCAGTAAATGCATTGCGTCATCGACTACTCATTCAACCATTCAACAGCGCTTGCCCGCATTCAACAGTGAGAATTTCATTATGTCGTCCATTTTTCAGTATTTAATAATAATATCTGATGTGATATTTAATGGAACTAGTCGAAATTTTGTGATTATGTTTTCTTATAAGAACCATAGCCCTGGCGCAAATTTGACACCGACATAAAGTTTGTTTCAAGAGTATATATTTCCTATTACAGAATTGAAAGAAAAACTGGATCGTGTTCACCGTTTACATTTTGATGTTGAATTCAGATTCCAGTTCATGAACATGTTTTTAATAATTCCTTTCAAAAGAAAAAATGAACCGAAATTCAAAATATTGTGATTCTTACGTAAGCTGCTAAACTTTTCTTGAAAACATTAGTGTTATTGAAATGTTTTGAATGGAATTCAAATTATACGCGTATAGGTGATATTTATATTTTTACTTTGCAGGTATAATAAACAACGATAATCATTATCGTGATAATTATCATTTTATAATGATGCATTTTTTATCTTATAAATATCAAATATGAATGATAGTGTTCTTACCTATTATTCAAATATTCCTTCCTAAAAAGACGCTGTAAAGATATGCTTTGTGAAAGCCGCAAATTTTATAATATTTTACAAAGAAGTGGATTTAGTTGTTTCGTAAGATCATCGGCTCTTAAATGCATTGTATCATCGACTACCCGCGTCAGGTTATCAAACCAACCTATAGTGTTTGCCGTTCAACCGTTAGAATTTCATGTTGGCAACGATCGTTATTTTCTGATCAATCGCATTCTCATAACCACAAAATAAGAAAATTTCCTTATTCTGTGCCATAGCCAAAGGATTTACAATTTAAACTTTTAAAGTCAGCCTAAACTTGGTTTTGCGGATATATTCCGACCAATACTATGATTATTATTTTTAATGTTTATTCATTGGTGTTTACCCGACCGTTGCGCTGGCTAAATAACCTACTATTTAACTTTTCTTCCTAAATGTTTGCATCAAATGGCAAATTTAACGAAGAACCGATAGAAATGCATGATTTATATCAGACTAATTAGACTACGTAGTTCGCGTATAGGTGATGTTTTTATTTTCACTTTAATTGCAGGTCAAATAAACATCGATAATCATTATCATGATAAATATTTTCTTTTTATAATGATGTCATTTTTTACCTTAGGAATATCAAATATGAATTATAGTGTTCTTACCTATTATTCAAATATTCCTTCCTAAAGACGATGTATGCTGTAAATCTTGATGCAAGCCACAAATTTTATAATATTTTACAAAGAAGTGGATTTAGTTGCTTCGTAAGATCATCGTAAAGGCATTGCATCATCGATTACCAACCGAGGGCTTGCCGGTTCAACCGTGAGAAGTTAGCAGGCTTCTTCCGATCACTTACGACTGACTGCGAGTTTTTACGATCGTCTTTTGTGGAATCTACAGGATAATTTATGGGGAATGGAAAATTCCATTTTCAAACTCTTAATAGCCAGAATTTTAGTTATTTCACGTATTACAAAATTAAAATGTATATATATATTTATTTTATTTAACACGAAGGAAACGTTATGTTTTGGGACCCGAGACCTGTCAATATTTCACGAGGCGAAGTCGATGGTCGAGGGTCCACAAAACATAATGTTTTCTGAGTTCTCAATAAATAAGTTTTTTTATTATATACCACCACTTGTCAAAGAAAAACCAAACTACAAGGTAAACAACGAAATATTTATTCGTAAAAGACATAATTTTAAATGGATAAACAGTCTAAAGGTCGCTCCAGCTGCGCCACACGTGAATAAAGTTGTTATTTCCCATGAGATAACACGTTATCTCCAATGAAGGCCATCATGCACACTATAGCATTTAATTGAATACGGATCATATCATATTTCATAATAGACCTTTTCGGTAATTACGTCACAGCATCATCGTCTTAAAATTAGAATCACCTTGAATGGGACGGATTTCAAGAATTACTCTCACAAGCTATGTGCAAAGATACAAAACATCCTTCTACAACCCGTGCATGAAAAAGAATTTTTCATTTCGACCAATAAGAATTTCTCTATGGAAACGCCTGCTTGCAGGCTGTAAAGCGCCTTGAAATATACAATTTCAGCGCCTGATTAAAAAAAATGAAAAAACAAAACATTACAATATTTGTTTTATTGTTACCATATAAAGATAAACTTCTCTATTAACAAAAGTGTTTGGTTGAGTTAATGTTTGTCTACCAGCTCTGATTTAGTTATTGCGTTAAAAACTAGTGACATTTCAACAGAAAGACTTCTAATTCATGAAGTTGTAGCTTTGAATTGGAAATTTACACGAGATTTAACAACTCTAATATATTTTATCTAAGTCATCGGAGAACATATTTGGAATGAACGGTAGCTTTGTTGCATAATATGTTTATAGTATAGCGTTATTAGCAACCTGAGTACGAGTTAGCGATTTCTACTAAACGGTCCTCGTCTATTTGATGTGAGAGATTTTTTACAAGGTTGCCAAGTCGAATCGATATGTAAAAGTGCATAATATTTAGTCGTCAAGTTGTACGAGTTCTGCTTAATTTTCTACCAAGGATTAAGCAAAATGTAGTCCTGTATAAGTCCATGGCTGTTTTCCTGCTTAAAGTTCTAAGCAATAAGCTAAATTTATAGTCCCTTTCGTTCACTGATAAACAACAAATTTACAATGGTTCCGTTTCAACAAAAACGAGTTTATTTATAAGAACGTCCATCGGTGATCGTGAAAAAATGGTTGTTCGTGTTGTCTCTTAGACATGGCGTTTCTGTTTCTCCTGCTGTCTCAACATCTCCGCGTGTCTCTTTTCCTTCGCAGCCCGTTTTCGCTTACGTCTCTTTCCTCCGTCTCTTAGAGCGTCGACGACGTTCGCCTCGTCAGGAACGCATTCGTACCAAATCTTGAGGTATTTATACGTATTGCCGCAACTTTTATCGTCAAAGAAGATGTTTGAAGCGACGACTTCACAAGCCTGTTGATCCTTACATTGCCCGTCGACTTTTTCCTTTGTGTTCTCTTCGTTCGTCTCGCAGAGGTTGTCGATTGTGAGCCCGGTGGGGAACTTGGGACACGTCACGTGATCGTCACGTCCCCAGAACGATTTCGTAATCTTGATGAGCTCGTATTGTTTACATTGTACCCAGCCCTTCTCACCTTCGCAGATCACGGTGAAGTTCTATGGAAGAAAGGATGATTTTATGATTGAAAGAATAACCTCCGCTCCACGGTCTACACTGCGTTGACAGTTTGCAATTTTTACCCTTGTTTTTCAAAAATATTAATCTCACACAGCATTTTTTATTGGCAAAACTTGAGGAAATGCAATCTAATACTGCAATTGTTAAGACTTTCGTATGACCAACTGTATTCCTTCCTGAACTGTATTTCATTAGTATCGATGAAATTAGATTTCCTAATAGGCTGTTGATCGCTATAGTGACTATATTAATAAAGATGTCGTTCTGAGCTTTGGGATGATATTTTGTGCTCTCCATTTGTAATTGCATTTGTATAAAAGAAAAAATCTTGAACTTACCGGCATGATAGGTTCTGGACCAGGTGGACCAACAGCACCAGGAGATCCAGGCAAACCAGGAGCACCCGGTAAACCAGCTGCACCAGGTGCACCTTGCTCGCCAGGGTCACCCTTCTCGCCCGGCAAACCTGGAGGTCCAGGTGGACCTGGTGGTCCTGGCGTTCCTGTCGCACCCGGCGCACCGTCTTCACCAACGTGACCTGGAGGTCCCGGTGGGCCAGCAATACCAGCCGGTCCGGGTTCGCCAGCGTTTCCAGGAGGACCAGGTGGTCCTGGGGGACCGTTGAGACCTTTCAAGAAGAATCCTAACGTGAGGTTCTGTTCTAAAAGCTGTGAAACCATGAGTTGGTCAAGGAATGGTTGGGTGATCCGGTCACCGATCTTAGGCCAGTCTGGTAATATTCGTTGTGAAAACTGAAACGAAATAGAAAATTTAGTTAGAGAAGAATCTTTGAACTCTATATACAACTGGAATAACAAGTAATAAACATGCCCATATTCATTTGAAGCCAATTTTTTTTAATGATGAGCTGAAAAAAAACCTAAACCCCAAACGGTTCGGCAATCAAAATCACACTAGTAAACATTTCTATTGTGGTGGAGAGATTTCAAGACTAAAGTATAAATATAAAGTAAAGATGAATATTCAGCGAAATAATTTTTGTGGTTTGTTTCCATTTAGCTGAGTTTTTTTTAATTTTTCGACATTTGCACCAACTTTTCTTCCAACATTTCATCTAAGTTCACTGGTTGTTCAAATGCCGGGCAAGTTCTCATTTTCGCCCCTGTTTCGTATTGCAATTCTATATGCTGAAATTCTATATTCATATAGTCATGAAAACATAGAGAATTGCATTGCTAGAGAGCTATATAAAGTCAAATGTTCAATTCTGAAGTATTATCCTCGAGTACTTGGGTAGTTATTCCCTACGGGTAGTACCTGTTGTTGAAGGTTTTTTGATGAAAACAAAAATAACATCAAAAAAATATAAACTTCAATATTAGGAACATTAAAATGCACACGCTTTTATAAATTGAATAAATATAACTTCATAAGTACGAACGAAAATACGGAATCCCCATGCAGTAATTCATAGGAATTCTTTGCGCCAGGAAAACAGGTCGATTTTGTAGGAGACAGTAAGCTATTTGGACAAAATTAAGTTTGACAAATATAATTTGGAAATTCGATGTGATTGAATTAAGACACTGAAGAATTCAGCTTAGCTATGTGGATTTAAACTATTTCGTACCAAATGTTATTTTAGCTTTCCAATGGTAAGAATTCTAGATTCTTCCTTTCAATTTTTTGTAGTAAATGTTTAATCGCGATCATATAGTTTATTTCACAAAACGCCTTATCACGTAGTCTTACGTTTTTTATTCTTATTTTTGCGGCAGGCTTTAGGCTATAATTGCATCCATGTATGTAGACAGCCTTTTGACTTTTGAATATTGTACGATTTTCTTAACGCCGACTCCTAAGATCAATGAATAAATTTACTCACCGAACATCCTACGTATATTGCTAAAAGGCCAACTACTAGGCTTGGGAAGCCTGTGCCTAGCCAGCGCCTCATTTCCTAAAGAAAATACATAGAAAGAAAGGTTATACTACTTTCTCAATGTTAAAGGCTTTGTATTATTAAATTAAAGGTAAATAAATACAACGGAACTAAACTGATGCTATATTACTAGATCAATGCAACGCTGTTATATGAATGGCATGGTATAAAATCAACGCAAAACTATTAAATCAGTACAAAAACTACTAAACTTCAAAACTATCAAAATTTTAAACAATATGTTGTACTTTTAAACTGTTAAATACATACTATACTTTACTACGTTTTCGCTATGTCATAAGATCTTGCTTTGACGAAGTATTTATAACTGTGTGTTTATCATATCAATGAGCAATGTAAAATATTTTGAGATATAAATCCGTCATTCTTCCACAAATCAAAGACGAAATATATAACTGATAAGTTAGTCACTTCCGGCCATTTTTGTCACTGGTCTGTTTTGGATCAAACACGTATAAGCTATGCGTCCGCGTTTCATAAATAACAATAATTTTATGTACAATAACGATTAACTGAAGTTTATTTAAAAGAAAAATGTTGCCATCCATTGTTAAAACGACATTCAATCCTCGGTTCTTCATGTGGTGTCTTTCATAATTTAAGATCACAAAATCGTGACAAGAATTAATGTATTCGGTTGCCATAATGCACTCAAATCAATCATTCCCTTCACATTTCAACACGAAAGTCACGGCAACAACCTACCTAAATATATTCTCCAGACTTTTCGAAAAGATTATTTTGAAAATATTAACTTTATTCAACAAAACTCATTCAGTCTTTTGCTATCCATCTTGCGAAGATGACATGACTGTTAGAATAATAAAGTCATCGACTAGGCAATCACGTGACAACGATATAAATTTTGCTTTAATAAAAACTGACAGAAATTGAAATTAAAGTAAATTTGACAAAAATATGAAAGATTTTGTGGTACATTAGCTTATAAGTAGCAAAAAAATCAAATATAGGCAATTTAAGGCTAGTATTATAACGAATAAATACTATATGTATTTGCGACTATGACCTGACTGAATTAATGGATCATCGAGCCGTGATAATGGACTACCTTGAAAAAGTCCGATTTATTTCGATGCGAAGCAAAAAATATCTGAAACATTTAGCGAAAGAACGAGTTCTTATTTACGTACCTTAATCCTAGATCTGTTTGATGTTGATGATTAAAAATATTCCCTTCGAACACGATAAGTTCCCCCGACCTGTTGCGTCGTTTTTACGGATCGAGAATATTTCCTAGCTCACTGGTATTTTTCACGCTTGCCTGACCTAGCCAATCACAGCGCGAGTACCTGCTGGGGATACTTCAAACAAAATAGGCAGCGCTACACCGTCTGAGATCATGCGAGACTCGCAAACATTTCGACGTTTGGACCAATCGTATGCGCGCTGCTCAACCAAGCGTCCAATCCTATCGTCTGTATAGCGATGATAACATCCATTGATTGTTTCGGCAGTGTTGTAGTGTTATATAGTTATATTATGGAGGTGCTAAAAGGCCGTGATCGTGAACTTATAGTGTTTATACTGCGGCGTCTTCTCAAGGGAGTCGTTTGTTTATATGTAATGATAATGATTAAGATTTTTGGTGCGACATTCCGTTGAAATGGAAAACAGCCATACGACAATGAACCTAAACCGCCTGTATAAGATTTCTTAGTGTCCGGTGTTACAAACTCGCAGCTACGGCGCAACGCTCATTCAGGCTCAACTTTCGTGTTGTTGATATAAAATATTAGCGAGGTTCAGTTTTTTTTCTACCACTATTGTCACTATCCGGGGGACATGAACCAATCGAATGTATAATAATTCTCTCAGGTTAACCAATCACAAGCCCAGAAAGTCAGCAAATGTTGCAATTGTAGTACATACCTGAACCTCGCTTTTGTTTGACAAAACTAAACGATGGTAACAAGTCTGTAGCTAGTTGCAGAAATGTAACGGCTTCAAATGCTTCGTTTTTTTGTACTTATAATGCACGAAGAGCTTTATGTAAATTTTCGGGAGTGGTTTAAATATACAGCAAAAATGAAAAGATAATTTGGGGCCAGTTGTTCAAAGCTGGGTTAGCGCTAAACCCGGGTTAAATTTTAATCCACTGTTTTGGTTTAAGTGCTTCTGAACCGTTGTTCGTTTAAAACCTTTACATAATATGGATTTTGTCCGTCTAAAAAATATTTATAGAAAAAGTTGATCAACTTTTTAAACAAGCGATTAAGAATATTGATGTAAAAATTTGCTTTAAAAACCCAGGGTTAAGCTAACCGGCTTTTGAACAACCGGCCCCTGATGATCAAATAGAAAGTAAGCCAATTAAATAATAAATGTCAAAACGTCATCAATCACATTGTGTGGTAGATAATATTGAACTGGCTTTACTTTTAAAAAACGCATCGTTGGTACTGAAAGCCGTAGAAAAAATACGATGACCGTGTACGGTACATTTTCAAAAGAAATCTTCACTCTTGTTAATAATATTACACCGAACCATGCGCTTGTTTTTGCAAGGCGATATTAGAAATCGATCAGATCTGGTTTTGTTTAGTGTTTTCGATGAATATACTATTTCTTACATGAAGTTTGCAACTTATTTCACAATAGCAATATAACAATCTTCCTAACATAGTTTATTAACACACCTCACCAACGTGTTGAATCACAACAACGTATTTAATTCATAAAGACATTGTAATATTAGTACATATGAAAGTTCATCAACCCACAGTTTATAAATTAATTATTGATGAGCAAAGATTATATTACTGCTCAATTAGGTAGCTACTAAGATTTAATTACTGTTTCAAAAACATTGAAACATGTGGTTGAAATGAAACTGTTTTTACAATAGTTTGTCGAACAATTAGGGATATTATAATTAACAATTAGTCGCCGAAGCCGAGGTGATTACAAGTCTACATTTACGGAGCCGAAGACGAAGTGAATCAGTATATGCTTGTAATCAGCGTGCTTGCAATCACCGAGCTTTTAATCACCGAACTTGTAATCACCGAGCATGCGCAGTTAACAAGTAAATGTTTCAATTGGTTGTTATATGCAATTTGTGTTCGGTGTTTTTATTGAAAATGACAGGGCGATGTTCGAGAATCGAGAGTGTGTATTCACACGCCATGCTCGTCTTTTGAAGTGATTTCTGGATCGTTCTAATAAAACTCTTAAATCGATGAACAAATGTGTTAGATCTTCCCTAATTGTTTGGCCAAGTTCTTTGCACTTACACGTTTCAAATCTTTTCGATCCCCTTTTCGAAAGATTTTTCGTTTTCTGAGGTTTAAATATAGTTATATTGGGGATGGTCGTTTAAACCAACTAACAGTACCTTTTGAGTAATTAAAACGTGTTATACATGCATGGTTAAGTACAAACTGATTCACGATTCAGCAACAAACATGTTAGACCAACTATATAAGAATAGTTAGCTAACTACCTTTTATGCATAGTAAGCACCAGAAATGCATAAACAAAAACGCGGTGGAAATAACCAGGGTTTGTTTCTCATCAAGCGTCGAAAAACGCCACTGGCCACCGCAGATTGCTTATGTTTAATATACAAATCTATAGATCGAACCAAGCGCAATAAATACATGGATTTTATTTCAAAACGACTTCATTACATGCTACATGTATATACACAAGTCAAGTGTACAAATCAATAGAATTTTTGTGCCAGTTCATCGAACGATCTTCAACTGTCAGTTTTTTCGGGTGGTACAGTTATTTGGAATGGTTATATCGAATTGAAAAACACGAGTCGTAAGAATATGTATAAACTGAGAGAGCAAGATCCTTGTATATTCATGCAATGGGAACGCATGGCCTTTTTATTATTCTTAAACAAGGTTTAATATAACCATGACCAGGCGACAATGTAAAATGTTTAAAGGTAGATTACAGTCGATAATGTGAACAAACGCTGTTTTTACATATTGAATCACAGTAGATCTCAAAATATCCTGTCCTCTCAGAGTATTTATTACCATTTTAGTCCACTATATTTCGAAATGAATAACGGATAGAGTTTATGTTCAAAGAAATTCAAAACATGCGAAAATTGGACAATTTCTAAATCATGGAGTCTCCCAATGTTATGAGCGGAATCAGACGCAGAAGTCGCTCTAACCTGTCTTTAATATCGTTTTAGGTTCTTATTTCAATGGTCAAAGCAAATATAAATCGTGAACCAGACCGTTCAACAATACAGATGACTGTGCAACAAATGAGGAATGATAAGAGGTAAAAGGATCACAACTGGTCTTAACCACAGTGTACATGGATGTACCCACATGCTCAGCATCAAGTAAGTTAAACTTATTATGAAAATCTTTCATTGCAGGCATTCTCATTCTTCATACGTACCCCTCGGTCTCTTGTAAGATCAGACCTCCCCGAAAAACAAAAACCAACCTGGATTATCTTATCGTATTGTCATGAAAATTCTCGTGTAGAATTTCCATATACTTCATTACTCGAATAAAGAATTTATGCACATTTTTGGAACTAACCAAGAGCATTCTGAAAAGTACAACTTTAGTACTCCGGTAGCACGCACTTACTTGGGTTTCAACCATGTGCTCGCTCGAACTCATTAACAAGCAGTTCAAGCTTCAAGTCCTCTCTAGTGCAGCTTTCCTTTGCGAAATACTTTCCTTTTTAAAACCGTATCCTCCGTCAAGTCAAGCGAGACGGCGGATGACCTCTCGAGGGTAAATGCGGTGTGTTTCTCAGTTGGGCGAATGAAACACCTAAACTCGGATTTAGGTACTGATATTTCATTGTAACAGGCGTGATAGTAGGAAACCTTCTTTACTGTTATATGCATACGAAGCTTCCTACATGACTCTATCGGCACAATTCGTGGGATGTTTCCCACGTTTTTTTTACGTATTTTTCAACATCTCTGGAACTCAAGCACACGCTTGGGTTCATATTCAAATGAAATATAAACAATTTCCAATCGTGGAAGAATTTTCATTTTGGTAGCGCTTAAGAGTCAAGACAGCGATGTGAATAATAAAATATACCCTGCGGTGTTTCAAATCAAAGTTTATCTGAAGTTTGTGTAATCCTCTTCTGAAATCAACTTGAAATACCAAGTTCGAAACTACAATGTACAATGAATATGGCCAATTATTTTATGATGTTAATGCACACGGAAATGTTTGTTTACAATATAAATTTCCCGCCATTTTTCTTACAGATCAATAACTTGCACGTCTACACTGCAGACATATGATTTAGCACCCTAAGTTAAACCCTAAGTTGAAATACTAACAGTGCATGATCAAGCAAACACGATCATAATTAGATCTTTTGACAGCGTACTGATTGGGGTTACATAGAAATCAACTTCGATAACAGAAATGAAATATTTTTATACAACTATTCTACTACAACAACGCATCCGCTCTTTAGCAAACAGTTTAAACAAACGTGCTTTACTGATAAACATTAATCAATACCATTCTTTTTGCAAAAATATGTGTTATTGACGACTGTGGTAACATGGGGTTACATTTGTTCATACTATAGCAAAATAATACAGTACAAATTAGTAAATCTATATGATAGGAACTTCATATATGTTATTTCTACATACATATACCAACATAAAAATAATTGTTCCTTATTTAATCTATCGACAAATCCTTATAACCATTCGCCATCATGAAGAAAAAAGACTCTCAGATCATCTTCGCGCTATAGGAACATTCAAGCAAACTCATTCTCGCTTCTTCGCCTCGCTCTCTCTCGTTTTTACCGCGATTTTTCAAACCCACAAAGTGATCAGGCAAATTTCGAGTGCATTTGAATCTCTGCCTGACCTGTCCTGTGTTAGTCAAAGACTGCGATCTGATTGGACGAGAGCGTGATGTTATAATAACATACAACCCTAGAAGAATACGGAACCTGTCGGTTGCCGGGTAGTTATTTTTACGCTCGACTACATTATTTTCAAATACTTTTGCAATGAGGCAAGATTAATTTGGGATTCCGAATACGAAAACAATCGTTGCTGGCGATTAAGTCACCCGAAGGTAAAATTTTCTCTGGTCGATGTCGTTTTCACTCTAAGGTTTTGCTAACTGGATTTCTAATATACGTTTACGACCTGATTTGAATATCACCTAGGTTATGGGCGTTTTCGCGGCATCTTTGCCATTCCTATTGGGTCTATCCCTGGTCAGATTATCGGTAAGTGATCAACTACATGTTGTTTAACTATTCAAGCTTATCATGTACGAATATGTCTTCGAATATTGCATTTTTTACCATTTCAATGTTCTTCGTAGTTCTCTATTGCTACTTGACCGGCCTGAATCTGGATTTTCGATTAGTTCTCGTTATAGTTTTCTTTTCTAATTACTTGTATGTTTATTCAAAATCGTACCCCGCGGGAGTATGTTTTTAAAAAGATATCAAAAGTAATCCTTTGAATTGATGAAATGTTTCACACTCTATCCGTTTATTTGATATAAGCAAGAAGAGATTCTGCCAAAGGGACGACTACAAAATACGGAAAATCTTTGTTTCTTGTGGCATGTCATGCGAATAATTTGCGAAAATATTACCTGTTGAATTATTTTTAAACGAGTCTTCAACATGGTCTAGGTCTGAAAATCTGCTTTAAGAACTACAATACTTTTGTGTTTACTTCTTTTCGACTTGTTCAATGATACTATACTACTTAAATGTTTCATTTTGCATTGGAGTAATTTTTTCTATTGACAAATTAATACGCCCGATTTTAGTTCGACACGATAAGTTAAACCTTAACAAAAAAGAAATTACACCTCTCTAACATGATTTGTCCGAAATATGTTTTTGTAGTTTCCGAAATTCTGTTAGGACATTCATGTTGAGATTAGACTGAGACTAAATGAACTAATAGTTGTGATTCTTATGAAACATTACAACTCGCCTGGAGAGCGAATACAGACGAAACATAAAAAAGTAATTTTGCGTCTGTCTAGAGAAGCAGTACTGTCAGTACCAAAAAATTCCTCGTGAAAACTTTTTGTCCATTTTAACGAATGTATTATTTGGGATCTGGAGACTTGAGACAAAATTGTCGAACCTTATAGTAAAATCATGACAAGTTAAACAAATTGTGCGGTATCCTTTTTGATTTCATATAATATAATTATGCTATATAATTGACTTTTTCGTTACATTCGTGATGTATCCGTTATATTTGTGATATATGTTACATTTGTAAAATATTATAAAATAAAAAATGAACGAAGTCTCCATGTTACGTCACGCTTGACTTCATATCAAATTTTTGAAGGTTCGAAGTAAGTGTCAAAATAGTCCGAAATCAAAACCCAGTCCTAAGATATATCTTTTCTACAAGAACAGAGCGAGAATATCGCTTCATTTATATGATTTTATATATTTTCATTTTCCTTTTTTGTAGTGAGACCGTTGGTAATTAAATAATGTTTACAAAATTGCTATATTTGGCCGTATTTTGTGATCTCTTCAGCCATAAATCTTCACACAAATTGAAAACAGAAAATACATATTTAGGAACCAAACATACTCCTTAACATTTCTTCCTCCTCAGTCGACTAACTGATTGGAATCAACAGAATAATAATATTGCAGCTAGAGATTTGCCAGGCGGAAGATGAATTCTTATAATAAGTTCGAGGGCCCAAAGTTATTTAAGATGGCCATGAAAGCAATTACGATTTTCAAATAATTTTATTTGTAACGTTTCATCTTTAACTTAAGACATCTCAAGACTAAATGTTAAAATTACGTAAGAGTTGAGAATATATTTTCTATTTACAAGGTGTTGCATAGTAATAATGTCATCTTAACTTCAGCTTGTTCATTCCTATAATCATTCATATTCTTCTTTTCTTTCACAGACGCCCGTTCCAGTATCAGCCGTACCACCATTGTTAAACAAATTACTTAAAGATCAAAATGTTACGCTCGGTTTCATCTTAAAAGGTCTACAAGGACCGCCCGGTCGAGATGGTATCTCCGGAATGTCTGGACCCCCTGGTTTACAAGGTCCACCAGGCGACCGGGGTGATCCAGGTGTCCCTGGTATGCCTGGTGAAGCTGGAATGTCCGGTCCACCAGGTCTTCAAGGTCCTTCTGGTCTTGATGGCCAGCCTGGTTCCCCAGGTTTACCAGGTCCGCCCGGTCTGATGGGAGGCAGTGGTATGGCTGGTCCTCCTGGTTCGCCCGGTTTCCAAGGTCCACCAGGTATGCCCGGACCAACCGCAATCAGATACGTAAGTATTTTATTCCGTTCTTGTTGGTAACTTGATTGTAATATTAATTGTATTGTCTTCTATACCACATTGAGAAGTAATTTTGTGTGTGACCCGATATAGAACTCAATTTGTCCTGTTAAAAAACTATAACCATAAATTTGGGCATAAACATGCAGATGTAGACATAAACACTTTATTTGAACATCACGACTACAACAGATGATTTAATATTTGTCAAGAATGAATGCTTATGAAAGCTAGCAAACACATGGTAGAATAGGAGCATAAAATTTAACTTAGAATAGAAGTTTATTAATCCATCTTTGGGTTAAAAGTACAAGAGATTGACATTAATTGTTTTAATTAGTTATACAAATAAATAAGTATTACATGAATTAGTGGACAAACGAGAATGCCTAGGACATCAAATAATAAGAAATTTGTCTTAATGAATAATGGGTGGATGGATGGGATGGTAATGTTGATGGCATGGCTGGGATAGTAATGTTGAAGTCTTTATCTCCAAACGTTAACAGTCTGACTGTCTTTTGTGTTTCTTCAGAACGGAACGGTGAAATGCGAGGAAGATACTGCTTGGTTGAGGTGTAACGAGTACAAGCACATCAGCATCATTTCGGCGTTTTGGGGACGACGAAACTTCGGTCTGTGTACGGAGCACACTGGCAGCCTGTTGACGGATAAATACTGTCCAACCATGCCGAAATTCCTGACAAAGGTGAAGGATGCTTGTGAAGGAACCACGATGTGTGAAGTTAGAGCTACGAAATCATTCTTTGGTGATACAACGTGCTACGACGTGTACAAGTATTTAGAAGTCTATTACAAATGTATCGAAGTCATCAACGGTCACGAAGTCGTTAACGAGGACAATCTACTCAACGCTAACTTCTTGGGTTAAACCCCGCGACTCGTTCCGATAAAACTGACTCTGATAAAATCCTGTTCGTCTTTATACAATATATTTCTACTCTTCTGAATTGCATTCAGTACGCGGGGATCGAAAAGCAGGTTTTTCCTGTATTTGCAAGCAGGGCTTTCCTGTTCAAAAACTAGCGCATGCAGCGATATATATATACTTCTCGAGTTTTTAAGCGAATACATGCAGATTCACCACGATGGACTACGTTGCTTTTGCAGTTCTGCCTATCCCGGACCCTTTGGGGTAGACATTATTTGCAAACAAACGTTGCTGTATACTACAAACCTATATACCAGTCAAGCCTCGGGTTTTGTTAACATAACATGACGTTTCTACGAACTATGATGTGTAATTTAACCATACTGTACCATAGACTTTGACAGTCGTCTGTATTTAAATATACATGTAAATAACATGGTTTAATAGTAAATATGCATTATGCACTAACCGGCTTACTGTTGTATAATCGTATATACATCCTGTGTAGATTAATCTAACGTTTGACTAAATTTATATAGTCCAATGAATTATACAATTCAATGCATTTGTTTTGAAGTGAAATAGAGAATCTTATAACCCTTTATACATCCCTTTATACACTGCTAAGGTGGAGATTTTATTCATTTAGCGAAAAGATCAAACCTCAAACATTTGCAAACACCAAAGCTATGACCACACATAAAAGTTCATCGAGGGTTCACAGTTCAATGCTTATGCAGCTCTTAAGACAGACTTAATTAAATCACAATTTTATAACGGTAAAAAAATACCACTAAACATTAATCGGAGAAGATTTACTTGGCGTTTTTATACGACCTCGCGTTTACTGCGCGGTATCCCTGGACCAAACCACCATGGGTCAGAAACTAAAATTCACCTGAAACTCATCGCTCAGATGCTCAATATTCAAAAAACACGGCTTGTATTCAGCCTACGTGAATAACCATAGTCGTATTAATCAATCGTTATTGAGAAGTGAGCTTATAATAGGAATGTTTTTCTTTGTACTTGAAATATCAAGTAGTGCTAAGGGTGTGGTTTGTAACATACCTTGTTGCATAAGTTATCGTTTAAAGATAAGTTTTTGATGCATTGGCGCACAAGTTAACAGGTATTTATCCGTCTCATATCCTCGTGGCGTATGCCAAAATTCAACACGAAATAGCGCGCCGATATTGTTTGAGGTTGACTTCAAAATGATCTAATTCTATGATCCCAATTTAAAATCTAATAGCCTAAACCTGCATCTGCCTAACTCCACCAAGGCTCCTCAAAGCACCTTGAGAAGTAGCGATTAAACGCTCTTTAATTCAACGAAAATATGCATCGTTCGTTGTATTTTGTCGAGCAAGAAACGCGTTATCCAGTATATTTATAGATCAGTAGTATACAGCCTAACTTCGATAACCGGTTTAGCATCAAACCAAACTCAATTTATCGCGATTGAGATTAACTGATCTCGTCTTGTTATCATAATTGAAACGGAAATAAAACAATCCGACACCTGTCATGTTGTCAAACAAAATGGCAGCGACCTGCCGAAAGCTCAAATTTAAGATGTAAACTTCGCCGTATTAGTTTAATTTTTGTTTACATCGGCAGAAATACAACTGTAAAGTTATTTTTTAGTCTAGAAAAGTCTAGAACATATTGGCTCTTCTCGTATTCAACAAATATAAACTCAAATATCGACATATTTCATCTGCTATTTATGAAGAGTTTTTTTACTTATTCCATTTAAGACCAATTGCAAAGCTTATTGCCATTTTCAGGCGTAGTTCGTGCCTGGGAATCAACAATAGTTCAGGGATAGTCTAGTGCACGAAGTCGCTTGTAAAGCATTGTCCTTGGCAAAGACGATATTCGTCGTTCTGCGCATATCCAAATATTTAGTCATGCTTGGTCAGGTGCATTGCTGAACAATTACGTCAAACTTATTGTGTAAACAATATCTTTTCCTGCGAAATTTTTCTTTCTATTTCAACGTAAAAAATACTTCTTTTTCTACCTAAAAGGACGTTATGAGAGGTACGTATGTTGTAAAATTGATATTTCTGATGCCGTTGAGGTTTTCCATGCGAATATCGCCCTTTATGTTAATGAGTTTGTGTTTCTCCACGCTCGATGAGGATGTCTCGGTTCACTAAGCCTGACAAACTACCTTGACCTAAACATTTGATAAACGTGGAAATTTATAATAATACGCGGATTTGGGCTTGAAAATAGCGCTATTATAACGATAGGTTTTGCTGGCTTTTCATTTTAATGATTATTTTTATGGCCGGGATGTAGTAGGACTATATCGTTGTTTTTTTCTGGTAGTTCTGATGGGTAATGAACTCTTTTAAACAAATCAAGAAGTCGCAGACGATATCTGTCGTGTAGATATTTGACAGTAAGTATCGTTAGTTTATTCCTTATGCTAGTATTATAAACTACACCACAATGATTGACTTCAAGTTTACTATACTGTATATAAGTGCACCAATTCAATTCCACTGTCCGCAAGGAACTATAGCCTAAACTGTAGCCTACTTTATTCACTTCATAGCTCTTCTAGTTTATAACCTTCAAATTGAACTCGTGAATTCCATGTATGTCCTAATATTAGCACATATATTTATATATATTATCATAGTGCTACGTTAAGAATATCATTCGTCCAACTTGATCATATCCTTCTTTCCAATTAGTCGTTTTACATGTGATTTATATTTACAAGATACAGACAGTGGCAACTGCAATAGCAATTTTTCAATGCACGCTTGCAAACTTGCTAGATTGCTTCCTTTGTATCAAGGGAACTTGGCTAGAATTCGATGTTTATATTGGTGTGATACTTAATTGTATTCACGTCTCTACAGTTAACGGGTATTCGTCTGCCAGTTAAAGATTGTTGTTCTAAAACAAATTCAACTTCAAGGCACTTGAAAGCTTTCAGGGTGACTGCATGAAAATATCTAACAAAAATTTTCGTTTTTAGTTAAATAGAATGAAACCAACAAGCGCTGGGTGGTTGTTTATCGTCTCGTCGATCCTTTTTGTTTCACAGGTAAAGTAGCATGTGACTATCCCTAGGTATTCTAACATGCTCACATATTTTATACAAATTCATGGCAAATATCATTGTCGTTTGCTATAACCTATTTGATCTAGTTTGGGCAAAATCATATAGCATGAACGTCAATCGTATGGCGTATAGAGACAACTGAACATTACAGTTCCTACAAAACCTCTATGCTTCTATAATATCTATGCTTCGTTTCGTTTTATTCTATTCTTCAGTACATGACATACTAAGAAAATGATATTAACTGTGTATTGGAAACCAATCATGTGGTAATATAGTGAATATCGCTACTGCTTTTGCTGCTCCGCTAAAGTTATATTTTTTTTCATAGACAATCTTCATATATGGTGTAAACGGAGATTTTGATATAAAGGAAGCGCTTGCAAGTTTAGCTCCTGTTGACATCTCTGAAACACATCACATGCACAAGCGAGATGACCCAGATGGAGATGATATGGGGACGCTACACGGGGTGAAACTGAGCCATGATAAAATTTTAGACATTAATGGAAAATCGACAGCTAAGGGCCGTCCCATTAGATCGGCAAACTCTTCAGAGATGCCATCAGGCGATAAAAAGGATGTGCCCAAGGACACTAATGCTTCCACAAAGGATACTTTGATGCCTGACGAGGCTGCTTTTCAAGCAGGGGTCAAGGCGACGAAGAGTTTGAAGGAAAAAGAAAAGTTAGTTGGAAGTAAAGGAGGTGATGTAGACGAAGATGATGGCGATGATGATGATGATGAGGAAAATGATGAAAAAGATAGCGATGATGATAAAAATTATGATTCAAGTGATACAGAAGATGACAGTGGTGATGACGATTCTGACAACAAAGAATCGAAGCAGTCTAAGATAAGCTCTAAGAGTAACAATGATTCGCAGAAAAAGGCTACAGAAGAAGAGGAAACGGATGCTATGAATTCTGCCGATGACGAAAATGATTCTGAGAAAGCTGATAGTGACAAATCAAACGAGAATGATAAAGAATCCGACAGTGACAATTCTGACAACCAAGCTACTAAAAAGTCGGAGATTACCAAAGAGAAAACAGAGGAATCGAGCAGTAAAGAATCGGATGCCAAAGAGGAAAAAGGTGCAGATGAGACGAATGATAATGGTTCGGAATCTAAGGTAGTCGAAAAAGACTCGAAAGATATAAATTCAAAGGAGTCTACCAGCGATGATGAATCAATCCCAAAGAAATCAGATGGCAAAGAAACCGGTGTATTGGATTCTAAAGAATCTGCGCCTAAAGAATCAGATAGTCCTCAGTCTGATTCCAAGAAATCTAGCGATGAAGAGTCTGCTTCGAAGGATTCGAAATCCAGTGAGGATGATGATGATGAGGAAGATGATGATGACGAAGATGAACATGAGACGGCAGATTCTAAATCCGAGAAGACGTCTAAAGATTCCAAGAAGGCTCCAAGCGCCAAAGATTCTAAGAGTAAGAGCGCACACGGAAAAACTTCAGACGATGATGAAACATCGGATACGAAAAATGAAGATTCGCATTCCAAAGACCCCGCAAATGATGAGGAAGAAGACAGCGACTCCGAAGATGACTCGGGAGACGAATCAGAAGATGACGATGATTCTAAACATTCAGATAAAACCGAGGACGATTCGAATGTGAAGAAGGAGGAAGATTCTGGGAATTTGGCTCACAAAGGTAGCGAGTCTAATGATTCTGATAAGGAAGACTCGGACGAAAAGGACTCCGATGAATCTGATGTAAAAGAAAAGGATTCCAAAGGCTCCGATGACGAAAATAAGGAAAAACAGAAAGATTCTAAAAACTCTGATGAAAAAGAAGTAAATTCTGGTAATTCTGATGCGAAGAAAAGTGATTCCAACGATAAGACAATAGAAAGTCAGAAGGATTCTAAGAGCTCAGACGAAAAGAACGAAGATGACGATGATTCTGATAGTAAGAAAAGCAACATCAAAGATCCCGAAGATAAGAAGGACGATAAGGTTAATAAGGATGGAGATTCTAAGGATTCCAAAGAAGATGACGAAGACTCCATTGATTCTGACAGTAAGGAGGATGACTCCGACAGCAAGAAAGTGGAAATCCAAAAGGATAAAGATGAAAAGGACGGAGACTCTGATGAGTCTGATACTGAGAAAAGCGAATCTAAAGATTTAGATGAAGAGAAAGTGAAAAGTGAAAAAGATTCTAAGGTTGAAAAGGAAGACGATTCCGATGCAAAAGAAAGTAGTACAAAAAATCCGGAAATCAAGAACTCGGTTACAGATAAAAAGAATGGCGAAAATTCGAATTCTAAAGTGTACAACATTGGTATTGAGAACTCCGATGACGGAAGTTCTGACGTATCTGAAGAAAAGGACTCAGATTCTAAGAAAAATGACGACGACGTCTCTAATTCGAAAGTTTCTAATCCCCAAACATCGGAGGATAAAAAGGCCGAGGGTGACGACGACAAAAAATCTGACGTTGATGCAGTGACCTCCAAGGATTCGGATGATGATAGCTCTGGCAGTTCTGGTGAAAACAAAGAAAACTCCAAATCTGACGACGAATCTGAAGAAGACCAAGCAGATTCAAAGAATAATGAAAGTTCAGACAGTGATCACAAAGATGAAGATGATTCTAAAGACGATTCTGTAAAGAACACCGCCACAAGCGACGATGAAGAGGCTGCATCTTCAGAAAGCAAAAAGGTGGATGATTCATCAAATTCGAACATCGAAGGCAAAGATTCAAAGGAAGACTCCGATGAACCTTCAACGAATTCGGAGGTTAAGCAAGATAAATCTCCGTCAAATAAAGATGACGTAAAGAAAGATCAAAATGACGACGAGAACATTGCCCAAGACAAGAATTCGAAGGAAGAGAAAAAGGATGATTCGGAAGAAGATGAAAAAGAAAGCGAAAACATCGCTCGAGACCAAAATTCAAAGGATAAGTCTGATGAAGATTCGTCGAATAAAGATAAATCGAAGAAAGATGAACGTAGTAAGATCCCTAAAGACCCGGTCCCGAAAAGCCAACCTGATAAATCTTCATCGAATGATGATGATTCGAAGAAGGATGAAAGTGATGGTGAAAATATCGAGGTATTGAGCAGTTCTGGAAAAGAGTTTGAACCTAAGAAAGACTCTGATGACTCCGCCAAAAATTCTGGTGAGAGTGACGAGGATGCTGAAGATGATAAAAATTCTGGTGAGGGTGACGATGATGAAGAAAACAAGAACGACGACGACGACGATGATAATAATGACGAGTCACTTCCCGGTGGAACTGGAGGTTCGGATATACCCTTGAAGATACCTGAGGGGTCTGCCGGAGCAAAAGATGGCGAAGCTTCAGGATTTCAGTACGATAAGGATAAAGAAGGATCATCAAATAGCAACAAAGCCAAGGATGACGATAATCATGATGATGATGATGACCATGATGATCACGATGATAATGATGATGATGATGACAGTGGCGACGATGATGATCAAAATGAGAAAGACGACGAAAAAGCTTCAGTAAAATCTGACGTGTCTGAGGGTAACGCAAAACCTGAAGCTAAGGGCAAGGATATCACTTCGAAAGACTTCGATAGTGGTGAAAAAAAAGATACCTCCGAAAGTAAACAGGCAGTTGCTGCATCCAGTGATGATAATGCCAAAGATAGCAGCGAAACTGGCGACAAAGCGAACAAGAAAGACGTCAAAACAGTTAGCGATGATAATACGGATAAAGAGGGCAGTAAATCAAAATCAGACGGTGCGGACGCCAGTGAGAAAGATAAGGAAGATGACGAAACCCAAATAAACAAGAAAGATGATGCTCATGGTGGAAAGGATACAAAAGAGGAAGATGATAGTGAGGCAGAAAAGGATGATAAAACTATTGATTCTAAAGATGACGACGTACAGAAGGAAAAAGACAAGGACGTTAAAACCGAAGATAAGGATGGCGTCACTGAAAAGAAGGATGACGAGAAGGTGAATACAAAGGATGAGGCTAATGAAAAACAGAATGATGACAAAACCGACAAGAAAAATGATGAGGATACTGAAAAGAACAAGGAGGATGTTACTGAAAAGGCAAACGAAGACGAAAAGGATGAAGACGCGACAGATGAAAAGGTTGGGAAAGATCAAGAAAAAGATGACGCTGACAAAAGTGTGAAAAATGATGCTGCTCAGGAAGTGAAGAAGGATGAAAGCAAGCAGAGTGATGCAGAGTCAAATGAAAAGGAAGGTTCTTCATCTTCGAGTGATGATGGATCGTCTAAAGAAGCTTCATCAGAAGATACACGAGAAGACGATAAATCATCATCAGGTGATGACAAGCAAGATGATAAAGCTACTTCAGCAAGTGAGGAAGACAAAGATGAGAGTGATGAAAATGATGCTGATGATAATAGTGACGGTTCTTCGTCAGACAAAGATGGCTCTTTGTCGGATAAAGACGGTTCTTCGTCGGATGAAGACGGTTCTTCGCCGGTCAACGATGATTCTTCGTCGGGCAAAGACAGTTCTACGTCGGTCAAGGATGATTCTTCGTCTGCCAAAGACGGTTCTTCGTCGGGGAACCTCGAAATAAGCTCAGGAGTTTTCAAGGGCTCTGACGACGAATCCTCTCAGAAGTCTACGTCGGGATCAAGCAAGGACGTCAGTGACGATAGTAAGGCAGAAGAAACTGGTGAGAGGGCCGTGGCGGACTCCCTGGCTTCCTCCAGTAGTGTGGTTGAAGCAAGGCGGAAAGCAGAAATGCTCGCAAGAAAGTCTCATGTTACCATCGCTCCAAAGAAAATCAATTTGAAAGCAAAAACAGAAAACGAGAAGCTCCCGGGGAGTTTTGGTTTCGGAGAGAACGAGGCCGCTGATGATGATGACAGCGACGGAAAAGGATCATCTTCAGGTACTTCATTTTACATTGATTTTCATTCTTCTACACGTATTGTTCTTTTGTTTTCTAACTTGTCGGTTGTGGGCTTATGTTCAAGCCATAAGTCTTTTGATAGTTTTCACGTTAGTTTTCGTCAATTCAATGCTGTGACGATCTGTACCACAGTGCATAGTGTGGAAAAAAATTTCAATATACATTTGTAAATATGCTATCTTTGAATAGCGTTTCTCGGTTTTTGTGCTCAAATCGTGTTCGTGTTTCTCCCTAATTATAATTTCTCTCAAATTTTGTTTTACTTTGAATTTGGGAGAATTTTGATTTACAATTTCTGCGGTCATCTTTGTTAGATGCTTCAGAGGGGGATTTCATCACAAATTCTGGGGTATCTCATGCCTCGCAGCTTGGACACGGCAAGAAAGACAAGCTTTTCACTGAAGAACTCGCAAAGAACAATCTTGCAGCAGCAGCTGACGATGACAAATCCAAGGAAGGTGAAAAGAAAAGCGAGACATCTGAGAAACCTGATGTGGAAGTTGAAGATGTTGACGACGATGATGAAGATGATGATGAGAATAATTCAGGCTCGGGAAAGATTGAGTTTGGATCTGCTGACCTTGCTGATAACGATGATGATGAATCGGTATGTCTTAATGGATCTGAAAAAACTAAGATTATCGATTACAATACCAATATTAGGCGGTTCTCAACAATTCCGAAGTTTGGCATTTTTACAAATGATTTAATGTTTTTCTCGGGAGCAGCAACTCCAGATTTACAAAGGTAGTTGCAGGTTCCTGATTTTATTTAGCTTTGCCTTCAAAAGTTAAAAGTCTGTCTTCAGCTTTGCAAAGAATATGATATTCCTGGTACAGTCAGAAGATATTTTCAACTAAATGTTGAAGAGTACCTCTAGTTTAATCCAATTTCATTATAAAAAAAATTCAAACATTACATTACCAGATGGATAGTTTGGCCTTTTTATTTTTATTTCTTGTCCGAGTTGATTTATTGCACTTCCTATAATTGTAAAGCACTCGTTTAGTCACTGTTCTCTGGCTTATTTGTTTGTCTGTTTTTTATTATCGTCGCCGTCATCGTTGATAAAAGTAGTCTGTCATTAAATGCCTTACTTTTTCCAGAACGAAGAAGACAACTCCTTTAAATGGCCAAAATATGGTGACGAAATCACCCAAGAGATGTTGGATCATTTTATGATTGCCCAGTTGATGGAGCAGAACCTCACGTTATTCTATGGTGGTCTGACAGGCCGGCCTGGTCCACAGGGCGGTCAGGGTCCGTTAGGAAGACCTGGTGACGTCGGACCCGACGGCCCAATTGGACCACTCGGACCCGTTGGTGAAGAAGGCGCGCCAGGTGAACCTGGAGAGGTTGGACCCAAGGGGCCAAAGGGGGATCCTGGGGAACCAGGGGAAAAGGGCAGGCAGGGTATCATGGGTCTTCATGGCCTACCCGGAGAACCTGGTATTCCTGGTGGCAGGGGAAAGCCTGGGACAACTGGACCCGCCGGACCGGGGACAGATCTCCCCGTAAGTAAAATTCAAATGTTAGATTGTTATAATCGCTGATCTGTCAATCAATGCAATTTGCATTCTCAAATGATCTTCTTTATTCTCCAGAGCTGCATGTATCTTTGCGAAGGCGAGAAGGCCTGGCTACAATGCCAGCAGTTTGAACTGCTGCGCATCAAGCGAGTGTATTGGGGTCGAGATAACGAGAAAATGTGCCCCAAGATTCCGCCTGGGCTTAGCGGAGACGGCTGTGATGCCGATGAAGAAAACGCCTTCGATAAGGTCGAGCAGCAATGCCGACACGACCAAGCATGCGAGGTGGTCGCTTCAAACGTCTTCTTTGACGATAACACGTGCAAGAACACCTATAAATTCTTGAAGATCTGTTACGATTGTATTCCCGACTCGTTGAGTAACCGCGCCGAGCTGTTGAGGACGACCCGTGAACGAAGAAAGAGGGGAAAGAGAGGGGAGTTCGGAAACCAGGGCAAATTCAAGGGCATGTCCTCCAGGCAAATTCAAGAGGAAAGGATGATGGATTCAATGTGGGAACACCCTTTGAAAGCTAGATTGTTATAGCTCTCGATAAAGTAAACAACCGTACGAACTAACGATATGTATATACATACAACATAATATTGTAATAACAATTTTTGAAAGCTTTTTGAAAGTACGACTGCCAGGTGTATATCCTGTAAAGAAAATGATTCTTTGGAATCACGTTGTAAATATGCTGAAAGAAAATCCAATTCACGTAGGAATACACTTAAAATATCCCGGTGCCTGAGGGGGTTTTGAAAGCCTTTTCCGAAGAAACCTGTTAGTTTTTGAAAAAAAACTTTCTGCATAGACTGTTCTTTATAGCCATTTCACGCCAAACTGTACCCTTTCGAAAAATCATCAATCGTCTTCTTAGTCCATCGAAATTTCGCCCACGGAGGCGGAAATTAAAGACGGTAAATTATTCTTTGGTGTCACTCGTTTTGATATTGAGTAAATGGGATCGGCCTAATATGCGTTATTGTTCATATTAGGAACATTAAAAATTTATCCAAGACGTTTATATAATGATTATGTCGTGTTCTAACGGTTATAACTAATGGACAATATTTATGGTTTTGGTTTAGTTTGTATAACACCTTTTTCTTATAGACTAAATAGAAAATTCTAGGCTAAATTGTACTCAATCGATAACATGAAATAAATTACATATAGCCTTGTTACAACAACACAGCTCGTTCTGGTTCACTGGGGCAAAAATGATACTACAGAAACCAACGCTGTAATTATTAAAGGTAGAATTAACAACGGGATTGTCTATAAATTGCAAATATAAATAACTGAAGTCTTATATGCCTACGTTAATGTTGAAAAGATAATTTGCATAGCGTGAAACGGAAAAAAAAAGGGCATAAAAATGGGTATTCTTTGGAATCACAATTTATATGTAAAAATAGACTTTAATTTATGTTTATGACGGGTATCAAGTAACAGAAAGCGGGAGATTCTGTTGAGGATTTGGTATGTTTTTTTTTCTGAAATAAAATTAATCATGTAAGAACTTAGAAAGTACGTACAAAAAAACGTGACAGTGGAAATCAGCCCTTACTCTTTAAAACAAGCCACATGTCACATACCTTGTTGCGTTATTTAGTTTGCTTATTCCTATAGGAAAAATGCTTGTTTTCATGCCGGCAAAAGTGCCTTGATAACAAATTTTGTCGATTGTCAGCCCAATTTAAACTAATATGATCTAACTTTAATCATCCCAAATTATTTACCTGCAACAATAGCCTACGTGTGAAAGTTCTTCCGTTAATTTTACCTTGTGTCTTTTAAGTTAATTAATGGATAATAATCTTTTTCTTTGCTTGGAGTAATATTGGCGTATTGGGATGTGAAATGCACGTCGTTTTGCCTTGAAAATAACGCGTTTTCTCGCCTAAATCAATGCGATGTTCACGGAGAAATCAATTTGAATCACATACGATATTCTGGTAGAGTCAAACAGTGAATTGGGAGGACTTCTTTGTGGATATTATGGCCGCAATTTGGCGACCAGATGTTTTCGGCTTCGGTGCTTTGACACAATTGCAAAATTTGCTTTTCGCTGAGAATATTGCGAGTCAGGATTATTTCCATTAATGTTTATTAACATATATACACAAGTCTTATCATATCTTAACATACACAATCTTACATCTGTAAAAATGAATTCGACCACCTTCAGTTGTGCCAATCCACATTTTGAGGACAAAGAATTCGCTATTGGTCATCAATTCTTTCTTATCGTTGGGGCATTTTGTAACTCGTTGATGCTCTATGGATTGGTAAAAGATCCTCTCAAATGCTTCAAGAATTGTTCATCGTATCTCATAATGAATAACACGGTCTCCGACCTTATTTTATGTTTGTATAAATTCGCAAGGTATTATTGGCGGTCGTGTAGTGATGGTCTAATCGTCTCTCGTTTGTTCTCATTTCCTCTGTACATTCCATTTCTCAGTATTTTATTTCTGGCGTTGGATCGATGTGCTATCGCTTGCTATCCATTTCAATACCGTGTGTTTATGAACGGGAAGAAAGCAGTGCCAATGGCGGTTATAATATTTCAATGGATGTTCGCGTTCTTAAGCGTAGCCTTGAAAAGAGATCTGGAAAAAGCAGTTCCAGGTTTTCTTCTAAAAAGTGGAATCTTTGTGCTATTTTGTTCCTGTTTGCTGTACGTTAAAACGATCCTTCATTTAAGTAAAGAGGCGAAATATTTGAAAAATCAGTGTGGAAATACGCCGACAGCTATGCAAGCATCAACTCAAAGACGACAGGGAGTGCTTGTCACGCAAAAGCGTTTTCTTAGCACAATAATGTACACTACTTGTCTTTTTGTATTTACTCTTTCCCCGCTCTTAATATTTGATCTGATCGACAAGAACCACGGTAAAGATAACATTATCAAGAGACATCTTCACATGTGTTTATATTTTTTGTTCTATTCAAACGCTGTCGTTAATTCGTTTGTTTACTACTTTCGCTTGACGAACTACAGGAAAACGTTTAAGATTTTGTTTTCTTGTCGACGAAGTAATGTTGAAAATTAGCATAGCTTTTCATTCTTGCCTGTGCTCAATGTTAAATTTTTATCTTTCCTTTGGAAACACAACATATACCAGGGTTATTCAGTTTAATTTTGTTCCTATATATAGGAAAAATGTCTTGCTAATAATATATTGTCGTTTATTGTTGTTGAATTTAGTTTAATAAGATCTAATTTTTAATCACCTCAAATTATTCACCCTTAGCAACAGTATACGTTTTAAAATTATTTCCTTTTCTGTCATTTTTATCCCTTGTCTTTTAATCTGACAGATAAAAGTTTATTTTTATGGAGTAAGTTTATGAAATGAGCGTTGTTTTCTCTTGAAAATAATACGCTTTTCTGTCTAAATCGGGGAAATGTTTGTAGAAAAAATCAATTTGAAATGCATACGATAGTTTGGTAGAGTGTCAAAATTCATTGCAAACTGCAAAGCCCAGTTAATTAAAGCGGTCAGTGATTATTTTCACGCGAATCAAATTAATTCCATCCTCCCAGATGTCTTCAAGAACTTTGATGCTTTGAAACGAAAGCAAAATTTGTTTGACGCTGAGAGGAATTCTTATTACAGGGTCGTTTTTGGGATTATTTTTTGAAGATTTTGTAAACATTCACAAGTCCTAAATCTCACATCCGTAAAGTTAAAATGAATTTGACCGCTTCTAGTTGTCCAAATCCACATTCCGATGACAAAGCTTTCTCTGTTAGTCTTCAGTGTTTTTTTATAATCGGGGTATTTTGTAACTCGTTGATGCTCTATGGATTGGTAAAAGATCCTCTGAAATGCTTCAAGAATTGTTCATCTTATCTTATAATAAATAACACGGTCTCCGACCTTGTCCTATGTTTGTACAAATTCGCAAGGTACTATTGGCGGTCGTGTTTTGATGGCCGCCTAACCACTTATCGTTTGTCTCTGTTCCCTGCTCAAATTTCGTTGCTCAGTATCTTTTTTCTGGCGTTGGATCGATGTGCTGTTGCTTGCTATCCATTTCAATACCGTGTGTTTATGAACGGGAAGAAAGCAGTGCCAATAGCGGTTATAATTTTTCAATGGATGTTTTTGTTCGCGCTTTTAGCTGTCCAAGTCGAACCGAACAGGACTGTTCCAATCTCTTTCGTAATCATTGGGATCTTTTTGCTATTTTGTTCCTGTTTGTTGTATTTTAAAACGATCTATCATCTGAAAAAGGAGGCGAAATATCTTAAGAGTCATTGTGGAAACACTCCAACAGCTCTGCAAACATCAACTCGAAGACGCCAGGAAACACTTTTCAAGCAAAAGCGTTTTCTCGACACAATAATATACATCACTTGCGTTCAAGTGTTCACAGTTTCTCCGGTCTTGATTTTTGACTTGGTGGAAACAATTCACGGCAACGATCACTTCATCAAGGACCATCTACACATGTATTTTTATTTTCTGTATTACTCAAATGTTGTCACCAACTCGTTTTTATACTACTTTCGCATGACGAACTACAGAAAAACGTTTCAAGTTTTGTTCTGTTACAAACACTAAGTAGCAAACGCAGGATTACGGAAATGCTTGTTTTAAAAGACGTTGAAAACAAAGTTTCAATTATAAATAAAGTATTTGGTTCTTGTAATATTATTACTAAAAGCTACGAGGTTGCCATGAATTGTCGGCCATCTTGGATTGATCTTTGACACATTAACTTTCGTGTGGGTGCATGTGGGATTGGCTCTTTCATGTTTGGGGTTGGCGCTATAAAATCACTTCGAAATTACCGAATAGAACTCATAAGTTGTTCAAAAAACTGTTCCTATCCATTTAGTAAGTTGAGATCGCAATCACACCAACAGCTTGGCGAGCATCAATACAAAAACGTAAGCAGAAACCATGGTTACTCGCTATTCACAATGCTCGAAACAAAGCACGAAGACGAAATAACACAGATTATCATGCATAATGCATTTAAATGAAGCGCATAAGCCCTAAGGGGGAATGGTGGCTATAAATAAGGTGGATCTCACTGCATCTCCCATTTCAAATTCGATCGAGCGCCCAGGAAGATAGCGGCGGCGAACCACCCGCCCGCCCAGCCCGATCACTGAAAATTCGTGGTGATCCCAGAATATCGGATGCACTCGTACCACATATGCACCTGAGCGCTCGATCAATGCTCCCGTACTAAAAACAAAAGGAGTGCAAGTGAGAGCATTGGAAATAGAATACTATTTATCTATTGTCGCTTACTGTCGTTGAATTTAGATTAATGAGATCTAATTTTTTATCACCCCAAATTATTCACCCGTAGAAACGGTATGCGTTTGAAGATTCTTTGTTTTGCTTTTCTTTTTACCCCTCGTGTCTTTCAATCTGACAAATAAACGTTTATTTCTATGCCATGAAGTAGGTCTGTGAAATGAGCGCTGTTTTACCTTCACAACGATACGTTTTTCTAGGTAAATCGGTAAAGTTCAACAGAGAAAGTCGATTTGAAGTGCATTGCAAAAATTGCAAGAATCGGTTAATTAAACTGGTTATAGCTTGCATTTATTTTCGCGCGATGCAAATTATAGTCACAAATTTCTCCAGATGTTTTCAGCTTGTATGCTTTGAAACGAAAGCTAAATATAAATTTGCTTTGCGCTGAGGATATTTCGCGTGGTGATTCAGCTTAAGGGTTATTTTCAGTCTAAGATATTTCAGTCTACAATTAAGTCATCAATTTCACATGCGTAAAAGTTAAAATGAATTTGACCGCTTTGAGTTGTTCAAATTTACATACTGAGAACAAAGGCTTTGCAACTTTGCTTGAACAAAACAGTGAGTAGCAAACGCAGGATTACGGAAATGCTTGTTTTAAAAGACGTTGGAAACAAAGTTTCAATTATAAATAAAGTATTGTTAGAAAATTTGCAGTATCTAACTTGGCTCTTGTAATATTACTAACAGCTAGGAGGTTGCCATGAATTGTCGCCCATCTTGGATTGATCTGTGACGCATTAACTTTCGCGTGGGTGCATGTGCATGGGGTTGGCTCTTTCATGTTTGGGGTTGGCTCTATAAATTCACTTCGAAATTACCGAATAAAACTCATAAGTTGTTCAAAAAACTGTTCCTATTCATTTAGTAAATTGAGATCGCAATCACACCAACAGCTTGGCGAGCATCAATACAAAGACGTGAGCAGAAACCATGGTTACTCAGTTTAAACTTATTCCCAAGAAAATGACTTGCTATTTATCTATTGTCGCTTACTGTCGTTGAATTTAGATTAATGAGATCTAATTTTTTATCACCCCAAATTATTCACCCGTAGAAACGGTATGCGTTTGAAGATTCTTTGTTTTGCTTTTCTTTTTACCCCTCGTG